AAAGGCCATCAATGGGACCCATGGGGTGACCGAAATATTTGATGCAGTTCGCAAAAGAGCTCGGTGTAGTGACTTCGTGTCACTTGCATGCCAGGATTATAATGCTAGCACTAAGAGATGCAGCCGTATCTGTCTATTGGCAAGAGACTCCTTAGTGTAGCTTCCACTACTTTCCTCTTCAAACTCCCCCATCAGAAAACGCCTGTTGAGACCGATGGGTGTGATTGGAGCTTCTCTGCTGTACAAATCCACCTCAACTCGGAGCCGGGGCTGGAGATGTCTTCAAACCAACTCTGTCCCATAGCATGTGGAGAAGGTGCAATGGTAGTGGCATGCTACTTCAACGTCGACGAGTACATAATAACTGTTGGGAATGTTTTAAAGGTGTGACGAGACAACGTGCTTAAAACCACATCAACAGGAGAAGCAGTGGAAGCCAAGCAAATGGGTCTCACAGACACTGTCAACAAATGGCCATCACTTTGTTCTCCACTTCTTCAATGCTGTGAAACTCGCTGTTGTTCGATTGTTTCTAAACTGCCTTGTGGCGAGAAATGCCTGTTGTTAGGTGAGCAAACATTCCATTCTTTATTTCCAAGCGATGCCCTGCCAACGCCACACTTTTAAGGCAGCATCGCATTTCGGAAGCCCATTCTACTCTAACGTTGTGTGTGATGCACTGCAGACGAAATCATCCACTATGCATTCCTTGGTAAAAATACCATCCAATTATGGCTGAGATCTATCTACTCGATACCATACCACACAACTTGGCGATAGGTGGCGAATACTTTTTCCTGCAACACAGCTGGGACTAGTGACCTCAAGGCTAGCAAGACCCCACACTGTCGCAACACTAATTCATGAATGGAGGTGCGCACCAGGATGGGACGAGAGGCGTGTGCTGCCCCCTCCACACCTTCATCCTCACCCCCAGTTTGCATATTCCTCTCATGATACTCCTCCAAATGTCCAGTCCATTGTCTTGGCTAAGTTTGCTTTTGCTTTTTGAGATGAGACGCTATGGACATGTGGCGTTTGTCGGTTCGTATCTCTTTTGGAAAGGATTGTGGACTGCAATGATGATTACCACAACAAGAAGATTATTTGAAGATGCTTTCTGAAGTTGGCCACTTTTGTTGTGGAAGAGGACATGAGCTTACTTGGTTGCCTCACACCAATGGCAATTCACGCGATAGCTGCTCCACGTTAACTTCGCATTGTGGACCAAAAGACGAACGGATTGGACAGTCGCGTTGAGTTAACTCGCCTTTGATGAATTCAGCTGCGTCATGCTGTGAACACACGATTTCGTACAGAAAGCATTGGCAAAGGCTTTGAGAGACAAGTCTACCTAGATTCGGATTTGCGTTTACTTGATTGCTGTGCGACTCTTGAACTGAGGCTACCTTTGCAATTACCTTGCCTAAGAATAGTGGTTTTAAATGCGCCATCAACATCCTGCAATAAAACCACACCGATTTCCTCCTTGAGTTTTTTTATTGGTGCAATGAGCGAAAAGTGTTCGAACCGTAATTTGGCGGTCGATTTGGACAGAAATGCAATAGTTTGTTGTCTATCACAATTTAGAAAGATTGCTAGCACTTTGTGGACACTTGCCTGGATAAATGTGTGTGGAAATTAAGGAATTCGTGGGTGAATATGGCTGTGGTGTTTATCCGAAATGCAACATAAGAGGGCGTGCTTCTTCATGAAGTACCCCTTACTATCATAAGACTTGTTAAAAACACCAAAAGTACGGATGGATGGACTTCATACTTGACTCTTATTGGTGAGCATGAGGCTATTTTGGTGCAATTCAATGGGGGAATGGATGGCCTATCTTTTGCCAGACAGACTGCATTGTTTAAGCGCGAGACATTGGGCACGGCATATGCTATATCGTGCGCTTATGAAATATTTATCGCAGTACTTTATTTGTTTGATCATGTAGCACCTTGGGGCTACATCTCGGCAACTTGTCTTGAGTCAGTTCATAGCCCAAACCCAAAGCTTTCATATAGTGGTGCTCTACCTCAGCGGTGTAATTTTGACAGGGGTCGGACAATGCGCGTCATTTATAGATTTCAGGTTTTAATGTAGTCTTACAAAGTGGGTGTGGCAAAGGTGATTTCGAATGAGGAAAAATAGCAATTATTCGTGCAAAAGCAATTTTATATTCGAGTGATTTCGAGTTTCCACACACTGCCATCTATTGCCTACGTTGTTTGCTCACATTACGTACCACTGCTTAAACTGCGCTCTCAATGTAGGAAATATGATCGACAAACAGAAATAATTACAGTTTTATTGTGTATTAATTAAATGACGACCTAGGCGGTAAGTCTTAACACGCACTGTTAGAGAGAAAATGTGCGAAATCTTATGAATGTGCTCGTTCACTTATAGCGAAATTCCCCTCTCTTACCACAGCCAATTCATCAATTGCAGTTTAGTGGCACTTCAATACTAGGACCATTTACAATCAGATTCTATAGCAGTCATCAAATTAGACTTGGTAGATCTGGTAAGTAAAACATTGTACGCCTTTCCTCAGAGTTGGGAAACGGCAGCTGCTGGCCTTGGGTAATTCTTCATGCAAACACAAACGACTGACCACACCTAATTTTAGTAAAGTTTTCTTGTGTCAAAAGAAATTCGTCACCAATCGGCACAAGATATACTAACATAAAACGCAAATTTCCATTAAAAGTAAGTAGTATAAGGTCAGTTGCTTGCAATTCCAATTAGCATATTTCGGATCCTTATCATGTCTTGCAGAACTAAATCAGCTCACTTCGCTACTATTTGGCAAATTTTCTATAAAAGTAGTAATTCAGTAAACTTTAATATGGTTCTCTATGCTGTGTCATCTGAATTTGTAATGACAAAGAAAGAAATTCCAGGAGAGTTTTTAAACCACTTCGCTGGAGCCAATCACAGTGCACTTGGTGACAAACCAAACTTTCAATCTACTAATTTTGCAATTAAATGGAGTGGCATCCATGATTGCAGTGAGAGTAATTTATGTGCTCAAGTGAAGAAGGTAGATGTATTACCAAGAAGACTATTTACCACTATCAAAGGTGGTTTGCCAGTCTTTTTACTTTGTTTACCCCAAACGATTTGCAGCGTATGTGTTTTAATTTTAAAAACGCATTAGATATTCCAATTGGGGAGACAAATAAGGAAAATATCTACACTTTTGGAATTGAAACATTTATTGGTTTCTCCGACTACATTAATTGGGCACATAAGTGAAACGGTAAATTTCTCTCCTTTGCTTTTACTCTTCTGTCAGAGAAGATAGGTTATGATGTCTACGAAGAATTTCATTGCTTGTTAGAAAGATTTCCCATCCAGTTGCCTTTTTTTGGGAAAGAAGTGACGCAGTTTCAAAATTAAGATTAAGCATTAGCTAAGGGCCTCTTATTTTCGAATCTAGCGCTCACACGTCCAGATCTAGCTCTGCATGAACTGGTGCCAAATGCTTGCTAGCCAACGTAGAGCAGCTACGGCGAACTCCTTTCAGCAAACTACTGGCATCCCAACTTTGTTGGGACGTGCTTAGACATTTGTACACACTTTGTTATGGATACTAACTGGATTTGAGTGATTCGTTGAGTCTCATTCATACCTAATCGGATTTTAGATTCATGAGACAACTTTTTTGCCAATGAGCGTTACTTCACAAATTAGTCAGAAATTGGACTTGAGAAACTCTAATACAAAAACTCATAGTTAGTTTTGCTGTTAAAACTTTTTCATTTACCAACATAGTGGTGGGCTAAGCCATCTAATCTGTACTGTTGTTAGCAATAATATAAATAAATTTTATTAAAGAATAAAGACTTCTCTACACTGTACTGAGATTCACAAAATTAGTCCAAGAGCTCTAATGAAACAATGAAATTTCGAGCATGTGGGGATGCAATTGGCATCTGGTCTTTAATAGTCTATAAACATGTAAAACAATATGCCTGCTAGGTGAAGTCGAAGATTTTAAGCGTCTAATGTTGAAGGAGGGGTTAATTACTTCAATGAACACCTTTTTACACTTAGAAGGATCCACATTAGTAATGGGCGTATCTGCGGGGTACTGATCCGCTCCTGGATGTTCGATCAAATACAGATCGTTGCTTCATGCCATATTCGTATCGGTTCCCCCTATAGTCCTCGTATTCCGGGTCTAGGTAGACAAGATTCTTGTTGAGCATAGCTGCTCGGCTGTTGTAATTGTAGCCGGAACTCTCGAATCGCTGTCTAGACGCCCGTCTCCGTGATGAGCGACGAAGCTCTCCGCAGTCATAGGCAAATCTGCCGTTCCGAGACTTTCGGGAGACTGGCCGGTAGATCTCGTAGTTGGTGGAATCGAAATTATCAAAGATGTCACTTTTTTGGCGATTCAGTGAGCGTTGGGAATTGTAAATGTTGGAATATCCAATAGAGGAAAATGCAAAGGGTTGGACTCGAGGCAGCTTTGGTTCCTCTTCTTCCTTCCGGTAAAAAGCTCGCATAGTCGGGTTGTGTGCGGCACTGCGGTAGAAGTAGTGGGAGGCCGAGGTCACACTGGCATCACTTTCCTCCGCCATCGGTGTGGAGAAACTTGAGCCGGAATTCACGGCGGTGCGCACGCTTTCGTTTTTAAAGTTGGCAGTTTCGCTAATCGGACTCAGCTGCAGTTGATCAATCACATAGCGAAACATGGTCCCCACAAGTGGAGTGGGAAGACGTATTACTTGAATCTGATTCCGAATTTTTGGGTCGGTCACAACCATAAATACAAGGGTGGGATCGCGTTCGCATGGGTAGGTGGCCTGAACAGCCTTGTAATATATCTTTTGCTTCTCTTTACGATAATGAAGGATGAGGTAAGAGGAGTAATTGCAGACGTAGCCGTTGATTTTTGAATCTGGGAGACGGTTTTCGTTGTAGAGGTCATTTACTCGGTCCTGGGTGCTGAGGTCATGGCTGTCGAACTTCACCGGGTCGGAAATTCCTGCGGGACTCCGGAAGTAAATAGCCCTTCCTTCCTTGTCTAATCGTTGGATGAGTAATGCCATGGTGTTGTGGAAAGAGACTGTATCAACTCTGCTGCGTAAGCTAGGGCTCTCCTCCAACACGTGCGTACACGCGGTGCGCAGGGCTAGGAGTAGCCACTCACAGGCGCAGTTGCTTCGCCTCCATTGGTGCATGGCGGCTGCGCCAGTGGTAAGGCGACAGAACTGCCAACTGCTTTCCTATTGTCCTAACTTCACCAGTTTACCAAGGTATTTTACGCATTTTAGCAAAAAACGCTTTCAATGTCACTCATTTAAACTTTATGAATATGAGTAATTAGAATGAACCTTGTATAACTTGGATTGTCAGTGCGTACCTGTTTGAGTGTACGTGAGTTTTTTGCTTGTATGAGCGGCACAACTCCCCTGTAATCTGCATGTCATGGGCCAACCAACTCTGCCACCTATTCACTGTCTTTCGTCCTCTACCTGTGCACAAAATACTGCCCTAACTCGCTCCTTTAACAGTAAAATCAAAAGTAATTTGTAAATAGCAAAAAACACCGATAATCAGCCCTTGAGTGCGAAAATGCGTTAAGATGGCTACGCCTTAACATGACATCGTTAGGAGGAGACTTTGGGGAGAGTGGCACCATTGTAAGACAGGAGTACTTCGATAAACAATCACTCCACTTGCATAATGGAAGGACCAATATAAGAGAAGATTTTGAAGGGTGGGATAGCATGATACTTTGATCTACTTTGAATTTCAAATATGAGCTAGGTTCTAACTTGGGAAATAAGACAAACCTTTTTAAGTTACAAGAGATCAGATTTCATGTGCGAACCAGAATTTAATTTGTAATGTGGAGAAGCAAATTATTTAGCAAAGAAAGGACTCAAATAATTATATCATAAATATTTATATTGATAATTAAAAGCACAGGTTACTTATTTATTTCAGTAATTAAACCGCGACAAAGATGTTAGGATGGCTTTTAAATGCTTTCTGTGGGATAGTTCTCACAATTTTTTTTGCAATTTAGTCCTTATATGATAGTCAGCAAAATATTTACTAACGTAGGAGGAGGCCGAACATTTGCATTCATTAATTTGAGCGGAATCTTTACTCCCATAGGGTAATGATAGTGCTTAAAAGATTTACGTTGAATTCAAAAGCAGAAAATCCGCTTAACCTTTCGCAGCTCATTTGTTGAAGACAGGCAGCAAACCAGCACTTTGAATCTACAGATTGCCCATCTTCTCTCTTTAGCAGCTCTGTGCCAGTTGTTAATATTTATGGTGCTTTGAGTACTTGAGGCTTGATTGCGCTATCGCCCAATTTAGTGCAGGTAAGGGTTAGTGCATTAAATGCCCAATTTGAATGTTTAGTAGTCTGCAATAATGATGTCGTAGCCTCGAAAGAAAACAGAAGCAATGTTTTAGATTTAAAAGCAAAATCCCTCGAACCGGAGTTATTCTAAAATAAAATAAAAAGGCAATTTGGAATACTTAGAAACGATTTATATTATCCTCCAAATTTGGCTTAATGCTTTCATCGCCTATAAAGTCCCCAGTGAAATAGTGAAAGATCTCTGACAAATAAGTTTACAGTGCGCACCTCTACGAACCAATTCATTTAAGCTGCTCTGTGACTCATTAATAAATTCAACAATCAGGTTGCGCTGGAAACAGAGCAAGAGGGTTGCGGTGCACTTGGGGGCAGAACAAACCACCATAGAGCATACTGATAGACCGTTTTCCTTTGTACCCAAATGTCACTACCTCCCTTAGGAGCTGTTAGTTACAGTTCCATGTGCAGCTAAATACATTTGACGTTGCATTTAAAAGTAGAATACACTGACCACACCTACACGTAGAGCTCTTTAGACCCTGCCTGTTTTGTTCTGCCACCCTTAAAAGAAACAGAGTTGAATACCCAAAACAAAAACTACTTCTTTCTAAATGGACCAATCCGATTAAAACATTTTCCAAATTCAACCGTTTAAAACCACTCTTTCGGGTCAAGGGTTAATGTATACGTAACTAAATATTCCTTTATACTAAGGTACTGGCACCTTTTTGGTGGAAAATAACTATAGACAGCCAATACTTCTTCCATAAAGAGCATCTAGAAAAAAGTAAGGACATAAATAATATCCAAATACTGGTCCTTGAGGTAGCCAAAGTATTTCTTAAAACGCCTAAATGTTGACAGATTATAAACTAAATAAAAAGGAACCCTATCACTTGGAAAATTGCAAATAAACTGAATCACAGGGGGACTTGGAGCAACATTGGATATACATGCCACTAATTTACTCACAGTTGCATGTTCGGCGTAAGCAAAACCTTTGGATGAATATATGTTGGTGGCTTCCTTAACGAATACAATTTTATTCACTTCTGAATCGATTTTCGCATACAAAAGTGAATAAAGCATGCGAAAATCAAAGAAATAAAAATTCGGTGATTGAAAGAAAGTAAGCGGTAATTTGTGTGGGCTAACACATCCGCTTAACATGAAGGTGAATGCATTTAAATACTGCCTTAAAACTCACCTAGATGAGAAACCGAGTCATTCTTCATTTAAAAACTATTTTGGGAAAGACATAGGTTTTAACCGCATGAGTTACGTAGAATTTTGAGGAAAACATAAAAGTGCCTCAACCTATTTTGGTCGTAAAACAAATATAATGGGCATGGATGCATGACCTCTGATTCCTCCTATTATTTTTAATAAAAATGCATTTTAGAAAGCTTTTATAAAATAACAGAACCTGGAGCATAAGGAGAAAAATCTCACCCTTACCTATTAATTCTTTTTTCTCTATAACAATGAACCATTATTCAGTGCATTTATTTTACTACCAGCGCTTTAGAGGGGTTAGGGAGAACATAATGAAAGCGGTGTCTACTTATCCAAACGTAAATTTGATACCATTGTACATAAGCAAGCACTACAGCAACTTGTATGAGTAGAGGAAATCTGATTGGTTGGGTCAAGCGATCACCGTAAAGTTAGTGTTTTTGATGTCATCAGACATAATCCACAATTCTAAAGGCATGCCAGCGTTTATCAGCGTGTACTTGATGGGTTTGGTCTGACTCATTGCTAGAAACTAAAGACTATTTACAAAAATTTCTTCAATTTCGAGACTGGTGGTAGAATAAGCGATTGCTACCACAACAATTTCAAACACAAACAGCACTTTAAGCAATGCACTGCAGCTGGTAATCGGTAGGACACCACATTTGTCCGCCTCCGATATTGAGGAGAGCGATTATTTGAAGTGAGAGAGAGATCACCCATCGGAGACACAATAGTCTAGGATGCAATTGAGCTTCATATTGATCTATTAGCACGTCATCATGGAAACAAATAAAGTTCCACCATAAGGCAAGGGACGTTATTTCTAGTAGCAAGACAACCCAATAAGTTTTCAAGATCGGTTGGTATGCCTAGGTATAGTTAGCCAAAAGCTCCTTCCTGGCTGTGATAGCAAAAAATTTTGCAACCAATCGATCTGAGCTACGGTAGGGCTTTTAATTTTTATCCCATCATGGATTTGTCCCCCGTTTTCAGCAGTTTGTGTCCAATGAAAATCCCCCGTCATTCGCCGAGTTAACTCCAATAACCCCTTTGACCACTCAAAAATATCTAATTCACTCGGAGATGCAACTCTTGCTTGTAGTCTTAGAAATTTATGAGGTGAATGTTCACTATTAAAGCCATTTAACTTTCATGCTTATGAGCAAAATGAAATGGAACAGAAAAGAACCCCTTTGTGGCAGCACTCAACAACATCTTTACAATTCTATGAGCCCACAACCAAAGTGATAAAATGTTCTACATCTATCTTATTCAGATTTTGGATAGATGTTGCATTTCAAATTATGGGCCACAGAAATGTTGCCTTTATTACGACGATTCACTTTGTATTTAACGTATTGCGAAATAAGAGAATGGGAGTAAACTATTCGAGTAGCACAGTAAGGCAGTACCGAAGCGATTAATTATGGTGAAGTTGAACCAATCTGACAATAAACTATTCCCATACTGATCTACCCTATTGCAGAAATAGTCATAATTCAGCCTTGTAATCTGCACTCTGGAGAGTATAAAAATCCGTAGTCCACAAAACACTCCGAATGGGAGGCCTGTGCGCAGACCTTGCTCGCACGCCGACGGCAGCAAACATCACGTTGAGAGTGCAAAGTCATTCGCTAAGGGCTCTCGCCTGATTGGTTGGCAGGAGCCAATAGGACCTCGAGAATATGCAGGCATTCCGCATAATTCAGGGCGTTTCAAATTCACTTCTGTGCAGAGCTTTTGGATAACCGAATGCCTTCCGTTAAGAAAGAAAAGGGAACGAAGGATAGCAAAAAGGGAGATTCGGCAAAAGAAGAGCCAGAAATTTGCCTATTCCAGATTCCCGCTTTCAAACCCAAGGCATTCAAGTCGAAGGATGAACTTGGTGACATAAAAAAAGACAAACCTATGGATATAAAACTATTTAAGGATGGTGTTCACTTTTATCCACAGGGCAAGAAGAAAGTGAAGCACACGATCCCATATGATAAGTTGAAAGATGTTGAATTTGTTGAAGGGTCTCCAGAACTGGTGCGCTTAATAGTGAATTCCAAAGGCAAAAAAACCTGCTACCAAGTAATGGTTACCGATAATGTAAATCGAGAGAGGTTGTGTGGATTTTTACGAGAAAAAAGAGGAAAGGAGCACCAATCGCCTTCAACAGAGCAAAGTGAGCAAACTGCAGAGGAGCCAAGTCAGTTTGAGCATAAACCGTCATCTCCTAAGAATGGGAGCTTTGCAGCTTCCAACTTTTCCAAAAATATGTCTTCTGAAATGAGTTACAATGGCAACAGCAACGTGCATGACGATCCTTCCAATAAGTACAAATCTGCAGGATTAAAGTCAGGGCTCAAAAGCAGTAACCTGAGCAGAAACTCAGAAGCTGCATTTGACAGACGGAGCCGATCAACGGCCTTTAACGTGGATTATTCTCAGGGAGAAGACGATTTGAACAGCATTACTGATCGGTTAACACAAAGTATTCATCAAGGTTATGCTTCAAGTAGGCGACCTGAGTCATCCTACTACGCAAGAAGTCGGATTTCTCGAGAACCCAAAAACGCTAATGATGATTACGATGAACAGACGTCTGGATACGGCTACGACGATTCGGAAGACTCCGACGAAACGATTGTTGTTCGACCGGTCAAACCGCGTTCCCTTACCTTCTACACACCATTTCTTAAGGTGCCCCGAAATAGAGAACCATACTATTAACCAATTTCATCTACGGACAAACGAGGTTGTGTATTTTTTGTAAGGGTTACTTTTTGGATAATCTCCTCCCTTTTCTATGAATGATATCAGGACATTTGTCTGAATAAATTGCATATAAGAAATACTTTATAATCCTTTTCACTTTTATTCTATCAGTAGTCTAAATTTTAGTGCAAGAATATGTGAAGGAGATGATTTTTTCAAAAGATGAACATCTGGTTAAGCTTCGGAAGATTGATACATGAAGCAAGAAAGCTGCATCAACGACAAACTTAAACTTAATGTGTGGGTTGTTTGAATTGCAGACTGTCTTAGACTCTGTAGAGGCGGGTGAATATGCTCAAACCCTGAGGAAATTTATCTTCAGTATTTGATTTCTGGTTGGATATCAAAGTAAATTTGAGGAACTTACATGCAAAAAAATGATTTAGACAGAAAGACTAGCAGTGGTGCTAACACTTGATATAAATTTTTTACTCTTGTTAGTTGACATAATATTAAAATATGAGGCATCACTGAGGACAATGCCTGGAAAAATGATCATTTTGTCTAGCTTTTCGAGGAATTTTTAGCGTCATTAAAAAAATAGGGAGTATCATATGACCGTATAACAAATTCACGAATAGGTGGGCTTCAAACAGCGACTGGGAGATGGTCGTTAAGGTGCTCATGCAGATAAGTCTTACTGAATGCATGCAATCCGAGGAAGTTGAAGTAGTGAGACTAGATTTCATAAACAGTTGAAGCCTGTAATCCGCACATCTATAACCATGCTGACGTATGTGCTGTATGCATCATTTTAATCGTTTGGATTTTGCATGCTAAATTTGCCAAAGGCAGATGTGTGAGACTGCCAATTGAATTAGCCACCGGGACTAAGAGATACCTGTGATCGCGATAGGAGTTTGTTGTAAATGGTCTCTACGCCTTGGAATAAACTCACCGAAGTCGCATTTCCAGCTTACTTGAACGTGCACTATTTTCCGAATTGTTCTGAATTACTCATTTCCAGTGTCTTTCGTTTTCGAAGTCCAAATACAAAAACTGGATCAAATTCAGCAGATTAATTAAATACTGCAAAAGCTTCCGTTTTTGTGGCTTTGAGCTCCATTTATCCACTTCTATTCTGACTTTTAAATAGTGTTCAATTTCTTCTACTCTTATGATCCCAGAAAAAAGTGTTTTGATAAGGACATTCACATTCCAATCCAAAATTTTTTGGTATTTCAAAGGAAGGTGTTTCTTGTTTAATTCGCCAAATTAATGTGTCAATCCTAGTGTTGGTACAGCTGACACTGGCAGTTGGACTGACTGTCTACATTAAGCCTTGCTGTTTCAAATAATGCAGTCTATTTAAAAATTACTATTATGACATGCCACAAACACGCAGGCTGCAATTGCGTCTTTTCGCAATGGCAAGCAGTAGGGAAGATTCGACCAGAATTCTTCGCGTAAGCGTCATCTGGACCATTCTCAAGAGAGTGCCAAACAATTTGACTAACCATCCATTATCCGTTGAGCTCTGGCCTTGGGTGGCTAGAGTTCTCTGAAATCCAGATTTTGGAATTCTTTTTTCTAGGCGGTCTGAGCGTGCGTAACCAAGTGGTTACTGCGACAGAAGCGAGCTGTCTGCTAACGAGCATCGCATATTTTAGTCCAATGCGCCATAAAGATATTCGATTCAAAATTTGTAGTTTGTAAGTTAAAATGCTGATAATGCAAAGTGCCTTTTGCAAACACGACAACTTTCTGATTGGATGCTGAGTACGTCAATCTCCTGCCACTGCTGTCGCATCTCGTCAACTATGCGTTGATTGATGTCTGTGCATCTTCTTCTACATATCTTTACTGTCGAAGTTGCAAATTCGTTCGTCCTCACGGATGTATACATTCTTATAGATTTAAGCTTTCAATAATGCAGGAGATTGGCGAAGTTCCAGAAACTTTCCACATACCTAGGTCAAATGTTGCTCAAGTAAAGTGGTGCAGGTTTTCAATGTTTCGTGTAATGCTGCAGTATTTAAAACATGCGAAGCTGATATTATAAAACGTCGGTGCGATGGACATATTTTCCAAGCATTGAGCTGTTCTGACAAAATTTACAAATCGAATAAATTACCCGAAATTTTGCTGCAACAATAAAGTCATTTCAGAAAATGGTCATCTTTACTAATACATTTGCCTTAACTGTAGCCCCATTTGGGTGCAAATTATCATAAATTAATTAACTACTATTTCTTTTCAATAGAACGTCCGTGCTAAGCTACATTCTTGTTGCTGCTTTTGAGGTAATTTCGTGAATAATTCGAGCGCGTACACGCTATATTGTAGAAAGCGGAATAACGTAAAGTCCAATTTTGATGAAAAATTGAACATAATTTTAATATTTTGGCTTCTCACTAAATATAATTTTCAAATACCTTCTCCGTACGCTAAAAATGATGATTTCTTAATGATATTAAATTGTTATGCTACGCGACGTTGCAAAGTGAAGAGACGAGTGGTAGTTATGGTGTGTTCTGAAATCTTGTAGACCACGCTGTTACTTACCACTCGCGGAAATGCAAAACTGTGATTATAAGGAAAAGCATGGCCATGTGCAACCGCAAGTGGAGGGCTTTCTGCCTGATTCATGCAAGCACTGAAGTGAGCATGTCGCTGTCATTGACGCGGCGTCAGCTTTGGTAAAACCGCAGTCAGCGCAGTCCAATGAATTAGCTGCTTCCATCATTGGATTATGTTAGTACTTAGTGGAGGCGCTGTCTACTCATTGTAAAATGTCGTCATCTCTTGCTACGCAATACACTTGTTACATGATAGCGGTTTGTCTTTCCGCCCATGGAAAATAGCCCCATGCACAAACTAGTCGAATGACTGCTAAACAACGACTACAACTGTGATTATCCAAAAACCACAAGGAAGTTTCTTTAATAAACAACTAAGGCATTTACGGATGGTTTAGATAAGGGGTGGGGTTTGAGTCAGGAAGTATGACCAGTGTGTTTTAATTTTCCATTGTTAACCTAAAAATAAACCCCAATGATTATGCTGAATTTGAAAGAGGGTGAGTAGGAAAATTTTGCCAATTTATGCTATGGAAAAGCGCTCGCTGAGACTGGGGAGGGGTAGAGCTGCAACAAGCTTGTGGTCACATGTTTGTTTTCGACTCATTGAGTCATCCTCCAAAAGGACTTTGACAAAAGGTGTGAGTAACTGGGTTAGCGGTAAGATTCATAAACATTGTAGAAAAACACCACAGTACTAACGTGGCTGAAGAGACTAAACTTTTCTACATCTCTCGCCTCGAGTGCAGGTGAAAGAACTTCGTGCGTCTGCGTGACAATTAAGACCCACATTCTTGAAAGAATTGAAGGATTGAATGTCTTTTCCGCTATACTGGTAGTTGAAGTGTGCTATCATTTGAATCCTTCCATTTCCCAACAAATAACAACATTAACAGACCTATGATTTTTGGGATCCGTACACCTTGGTAAATTTCCCACAGCGATTTTAAGCGGATTGCCTTGCTCCCACTGCTTAAGTAACTTATGCAGCGCCTTCAGAAACCAGACAAAGGATATACGCTACATCGCACAAATAGGATGTGAATAACCGTCTATCTGTAATACGGCAGAACTAATGACAGCTCGTTTTGTGATAACCTCACGACACATTCAATGTGGCTGCTAAATTGCAACTGCATCACCGTGCCAATAGTTTTAATCTCAAATCACCTCTGTTTAGTAGTTTTTAAGAATGTAATAATTTGTTCGTGTTCAAATTACTTTACTGCCTGACAGTCATACTTTCTAATTCTAATCTCATGAGTGTAGTGTTTCTAGCCGAAAAATATGTAGGGCTCCGTAAGTTTAGTGTATGTTAAAATATTCGATACATTTCATTGGCTTTAAGTATGCTTATATTGATTAAGAATTAGTATTTTGCAATTTCAATTTTCAAAATTTTTGTTTGCTTTAGTAAGTAAGCCAGTGTGGATTACAAAAATCCAGTCTTCGTAGAGATTTCAGAATAAGGAATGCTACTGGTCAAATGAGAACTCATTGTTTAAAATAGGATCATTAAAGATTCATACAATCACGATTTCGAAAGTTTGATAACTCCTGCGATATCTCCTTTAAACTGGAAAGTAACCTGAGGCTTTTTTAAATTTTTCCTTTAAATAAAATTTGGAAATTCGGTTGAAATAGGGGGTAGCTGTTATTGATATGCAGGGTTTCAATTACGGGTAAAGTCAGCTCTTTCATAAAACGGTGTTAAGCGATAATCTAATTTAACCACTTAAATGAGTCACAGGACACTTTATTGATAATTATTATAAGCTTGCCTTGGAAATTTGCGAATTTCTAGCGCTCTTTTTATAGTGTTTTACAATTCAACCAAGATAGCACAATGTTTATTTGAGAAAACTTGTTGAAGTATCGACTTTCCTGCGTCAGCACGCCATATTTTTTCCTCCTTTATGTAATGCCTATATGACAAAGAGGTGATTGAAAAGTTATCCTAGAGAGGTAAATAAAATTGGTCTTTCCTGATAGGTTGGTGTGCCACACACACCCCCTTCCCCAATGAAAACGCTAGTGCTGCTTGAGTAATCGCAGCTGAAGCACTGTGCAAGATAGAGGGGACCACGATCAATGCCAACCGTCCCATCAAATTACAAGCACTCGGTGTTGGTGGAGTTAGTGGCACTTTTGGTTTGTCACACCGAGTGAGCGACAAATACCAATCCACGTGCATTCAAGTGCATACAAACACACACCCAGGCTTACGTAACCAATAGGTGGAGGTCTATTTAATCACTCATTCACTCTTATCATTACCAAAAAAGTGCCACTGCGACATGTCACAACAGGTCGGAAGTCAGATTTTCCCCATTCATCTAGAATGGCTGGGTGGACGCAATACCTTTCAACAAAGCAACTTTTCCGTTCGCAACGCTCACATATGCTTGGAAGACATGAAAGACTCGGATGTAATTATGCCCGTGACCTTAGTGAAACACGGAGATAAAGTCATATTCAGAACGAACAATGAAAGGATGGGGAAAGATTTTAATCTAAGTAACATCGTAAACATTCACGTTTTTACTTCTGACCCCACATATGCGGTTTTTGAAATCTCTTCCAACAACGGACCTTATCGTTTTGAGGTTATTCATGCACCTGGCAATGAAACATTAAATCAAGTTCACGATTTTCTTTTTACACGCAACTTTGCCTATGCTTCAGCACAAATACTACCTAGGAAAGAGAATTCTCCAACATCTTCCAATTCCGATACTTACGAAGCGCCTGAAACCGGACAACCCGCCACCAACGGTGTCTCTACGCCGGAGTTGCAAACAGAAGAGGGCTACGAGGAGGTGGCCGTGAAACTGGTTGACCAGATGATCAATGGCCATGAAAGTCCATCAACATCGCCCGAAGTGGAGGATCCTGTGCAGGTGAAGGATGAAGTTGCTAGTGAAGAAGTCGGCAAGACGAGATCATCCTCCTCTACTACCTCGGTTTCATCGGACACTAACATAGAAAAGATACAGAAAGAGGATAATTCAGTGGTGTCTGACAATTGGGAATCTAGAATAAATCATCAGGAAGTCAATGAAGCCGAGGCGCCTCGCACTATTGAAGTCTCACGACCACGCCATTTCTGCAAACTGCGTCTCCTTACTAATATCATCGCAGAGGAAGGAATTGACACAAGACATTACCATGATGACGGTCGCCTCTACGTTGTCTCCAGGATTGCCTTCCAATCGACAAAAATTCGACCCCTCCCTACGAAGGCTAGTGTAACCGAAGATGAAAGTGTTTCAACAAAGTATGTACGCAGGTTCTATCGAAAATAGATATGCTACAATGGGATGTCAGGTGAACTGACTAATATAATGTGCATATGGCTTTTGGTATATCTAATTCTGCAAAAGATGTAATCGCTTGTTAGTTTTGAGCCGCTTTCTTTGCACACAGGCACATTTTCCACTATAGAGCTTCCGCCTCCGCTTCACAGAAAATTCAGTTTAAAAGTTATTGTCTATAGTAACTGTACTATTCATTGTTTTGCTGAGCGAAAATGTGTGCCTTGACTCATTTTCTGACTTCACTACAGGGGAGATGCTACACAATACTAGTATTTGGTTCAAAAAACATGTAGACGATTTTGGTGAGTGTAAGAGCAGAGACGAGTTGGTATGCATCACAGGGTATCAGCCTTACCAGTACCTCAGTTTTTATGTCCATACACTTTTTACTGTTTATTTTCGAAGATACGACTTTACGGTAAAGATGGGATGGCTGATAAAGTGCTCTAAATGGATTTCCAAAACCACAGGCTTTAGATTGACCTAGTCGGCATAAGTGTGGTTTTGTTGATTTGAAGGCAAACTTAGCATATAAATAAACCTAGCTTAAGAAGTGTAGTCTTACATTTTACACCTATCGATGCCGTCCTGTACCATTTTTGAAACGAGGTCTTTCATTTATCAAATTTAATGGAAAGATTTACGTAACAAATACCCTTTTTAAAGAAACTTGCTAGAACCATAGCCTGCTACATAAGTTTTCAAGACAAGTATTTTAAAATTGACGGACAAAAAGGCTTTTTAATGATGCTCCGGGTGGTCACAACGGTGCGCGTGATATGACGCGTGTTAGGATTATGAGGGGTCCATGGACAATAAATTACTTTCTTAGCCTCTTCCATCAAGGTCGTCCAATAATGTTCTGGCCTTTAGAAGCTCTTTCACTTACTTAAGCTTTTGGCGTCCTCTACTTGCCAAGGCGAGTAAAGACTCATTAGGAACATGTTGAAAAGAATTAAGTTGTAAATACAACATACAGTTACTCATGCATCAAACATAATAATGTAATGAAATATTCTCCCCAGACGCATTTTACACGATTTCTTCCAACAGAAATGAATAACAGATAGCTTGTTTAACAAAAAAAAATAGCTGGGAATTTTCTTATTTCTTCCATTGCGAAGAGTAAATAAGCATCGGTTAAAGAATGAGCGATTTTATATCGTCGTAGCATTATAAGATTGAATTTTTGTCTAAAAAATGTGCACATTGATACAAAAGCAAATTCTAATGACGGTAATAGTTTTTAAGTATTATTATCGCTATTGTGAATATTCACTTTTCTTATAGTAGTCGAAATCACTAATATTTACAGGCCCCTGTAAATTACTTGATTAACAATTGGGATTCGGTATCCGAGGCTTATTTGATCAAAAGTCAAGACTGTGAAAGCATCAACTTCTAACATTATTCATTGGTGCATTTTCACTCTTCATTTTGAAAATACACTACGCCTTTGAGTAGTCAGCATCAAGTGAATGAGCACGCGCCTAGTTGAAAATGAAACAGAGTTGTTTTACTTACCGTTAATATCATCATAGGCACATAAATAGGGAACTAAAACAAATTTTCAGACAGCCGAATTTGGTGATTTTTGAAGACATTTGGAACATTTCACATTATTTCGTTATAAAGTGTGTTGGGGGCAAAGAGGAAGTAGAATAAACCATTTTTACATCAAGCCTTGTACTGATGAAATCATCCACTCTCCATGCAAAGTCGATAGCATCAAAATGAGTCTGAAAATAAGGAGTGAATTTTACTTGGGATTCGTGGTTAGCCTGACTGCATTTCCAGTGAGTATATAATTAGACTTGACGCCAGGTGATTAAAATCTTCAGATTATTAGATGCGTTTCCTCCTCGAATGGATGGGATTTAGAGGATGAACTACCATACCATCGGTATAAGGCTTCGCTGTTTCTAAGCCTTCATTTCTCTTTCAGCGACGATGGAGAAAATTTTCCCGTTATCAGAGTGTGAGTTAGCAAAGTTTTACATAATTCTAGATTGTAAATATGGAAATTAAAAATGCGGCGAACTGCGATAGATAGAGGTATGTCCAAGTCACAAGTCAGAAGAGAGTAAAGCGCACCTTTGCGTTAGAAATCCCTTTTTAATGTATTGTATTATCTGCGAAGTATTTGAAGTAATTTGAAGTAACTAAAATCTTCATATTACTTTTGTAGAATTCCTACAAAATCTCCTAAAACTATTAATACTAATTGATAATCTTAGTTGGACCTATTCCTAGTCACTCGTTTTCCTTTTCAGCCAACCGGTTGCCAAGATCCCTACGAAACACCGGTAGGTTTATGCTCTTTTCGTTCTACAAATAAAGCCCTCCAGAGTGCGCAAATGTAACCTTCAGAACCATTTGATCGCTTTAGTCATGCTATTTCTGCAATTAACAAAATCAAGCCAAATCGAGCATTAACAGTGCGTCTACTGTTTTATACATTGGGAAGGTCAAATGTTTCAGTAGCTCATTTGCTAAATATTTACCACTGAAAATAAGATAATCAAACCCGATTCCGGGTTACTTTGTGCTTGAGTTCTAGGGCGTTCGTTCAGACAACCAAAACTTTTATAATTGAATCATCTTTCCCATGCAATTCACAGTTGGGACAAAACAATCCAATCGCACAAGTTTCAATAGAGAGGGCATTCATTTTCTTAAGAGAAAATGCCATAATGCAGTTTACTTACCCATCAGCATAATAAATTTGCTAGTAATAGCAAAAGCTAAAAGAGCGCACTTAAACTTGGCAATGTTGGTGCTTGCAATCCCGTTTGCCAACTCGCATGTGTACAAGCATCGCCTGACGCGGAGGTGGTAGGTGTTGCAACCACCAAATTGTGATATAGGTCACCCAACCCTATTTACTGCATTCAGTTAAACATTGCATATTAATGCTCAGCCAAATAGAAGAATGAAACACTTTATTTTGTTTTACTAAAAGGGCCTCGGTAAAAAATTAATGGATTGGCTAAAAAAGGAACCTATTCTTGCACATTCATAGTTGGTGTTTTAATTTGGAACGCTTTTATTTTAGCTGTCATGAGCAGACTGAAACACCTTGTTTGGTCACACAAAACTATTTTACTGGAGTGATTTCATGATTTTTGAAAGGAATCTTTAACTTGGACAAATTTTACTGATGATCTTACAGCAAAATATGTGCTATCATATTTGGCAGTTGGTAGCCTAGTACAACGGTAAGGATTAGGTTCATTTGGTTTGACGTTTTGATTGATTTACACTGGTTTTTTTATAGAGATGTTGTTGTTGTTGCTGCTGTTACCTTAAAACTGTACAAACCTGGTGTAGCTTTGGGACGTGAATGATGCCTCTCATGCGCATCAGAGATTAATGCGCAGAAGGTGTTTAATGAGGCAACGCAACAGCTAATTGATGGTTTTGTGTTTCAGTCAACGGCAATCCAGGAGTCCTGTTAAAGAGAGGTATATGTCACAACAAGATTGGTAATAATGCATTCCTTTTAATTAAGAATGAGCTTTTTAACTCATTCATAAGATGTACATTTCCTAAGTAATACGTGGAACAAGTAAAAGAGATGTATGCGTATTTATTTTACAATATTTAAGCTTGCTTTTACCACTTTCTGCTTTTCACTTATCCTTGCCTTGTCTAATGCGTGCAGCTCTATTTTACCTAGTGAAAAGTTGAAAGGGAAGTCAATAACTCCTGAGCGATCAGTGTGCAAGAAATGCATAGGTTCCGAAGGAAAGAAAAAACTGAGGTATGTCTACACCAGCACATTACTGGAGAAACATTCCTATATTTATCACCACCCCACAGACTATGTTCTCTTCTATTAGTGTTTCCCATATCAGCGAAAAATGACTTGTGTAACAGTCTTAAGATGTTTGAAACTTTAATAAATGGCGCATCCTTTTCTTTTAACCATATCACTTAAAAACGGGTTCTGCGTTACCCACTGCAGCAGCCAAAGCGTGAAATTAAACCTGATTAACAATGTGAGTTGACTCGTAAATTTAGTGATATTATTACGAATTTTTGTTTATGGAGGTTCCTTAAAACGGGTACGTTTGTTTGGGGTAGTTATTGGACTGTATATTTAGTAAATGTGATGGGGCAAGTAGTTACTCTTTTGTCATTGAGACGGTCGAAAACGACGATTTCTATGTAACTATTTTACTTGGTTTCATTACAGCTAACTGAAATTCATTTTTATTATGCAGCAGGTTATTGAATTGGTAAATAATTTTTTGTGCAAATAATCACCATATTTTCATTTCTGCACCATCAACCATCTTTATCTACCACTTGCGACTCACACACTAGCCGTATGCCCCCTAATAATTGACGGTTACTCAAACTCTTGGGAATTTCTCACCTAAATGACATGATGTATTACACCTCATTCAAACATCAAGGTAATTTTTTTTCATTTTTTAAGTGGAATTTTTTTTGCAATAAAGTCAAATTGGGCGGTGCCCTTTGAAGCTATCAATCTGTGACGCTGGTATCTGTACCTTTCTTGAGCTGAATCACACTGAGCTATTTCTGTTATCCTCACTACTCGTGATGAACTTTGCACATTTTTTCAAGGGACACCTCTCCAGCTCTACGAATCCGTATCCAAACACCCACCTGCAACGTTTGTGAATGCATCCGTTCCTGCAACAAAAATCCCACGTCTAGTTTGTTCTGTTGCTCCCGAAGATCCCATCAGCCGGGATGCTCAACTGTGCGCACCCTCTATGTCCACAATCCCTCATAAGGCAAACACCTTGCTCACTAGCCTTTTTCCAAGTAGCTTCCTTTACTCAATGATTATGCTTCAGTCCCCTTTCCCGTAGATACTCGCGTCTTTCCACACGCCTATACAAATTTACTTATCCTACTTGATCTATTTTCAGCAATGGAGTCCTAATTGATGAATCTCTCGTATGTACGGACTAACTTTCCATTGCACCTGAAAAATGTGCTTCGGGTTATTACTACAGTGAAGGGTTCATAATGGATTGTGGTTCTGTATCAAACAGCACATTAAGCTAAGTTATGAAATCAGCTAAGACCAGAACATCCTCATTGTTCTTAAATTTATGCCACTTATCAGGACTGCAAAATTTTCTTATAACGTAGGCAAATATTTTAAATTCTCTGTTAAAACGGAAGATCGCAGTCTGGAATTTTTGGTAAACTAACTACCGCAAAAGAAATTTCGAACTAAAAAGTGGAAAAGTTTTAACGCATTTAAACAAGTTCATAAAAAGGTAGGTAATTTCACTCAGGCTATTGCCACCACTCGAGTAAATTTTGCAATACTTTGGATAGGTCAAACATCAATTTGGTTTGCTCGGCAATAGTCTCAGTCTCAAGGTGTCGCCTGAGTCATCCTTGCTCCGCTCTGCCAAGTGTGCTCAAAATCAAAGCATAGTCAACTAGACTAGCTGGCAAGCGGAGCTGACATGATTCTGCTACTTGCATTAAGAGGCAACATGAAGTGTACAGATTAATCCCTCCGCCAATTCCGCCAACTCCTCTGTTCAGTAGAAGCTTCACATGCTTCTACTCGTCTTAGCTTTTGTATCTTGCTAATTACTAGGAGGTTTACTATTTTATTATATCATATTCCATTGCAGTCTTAAATGTCTAGGTAAATAAATTAAATCCAAATACCTGTATAGACAAGAAGGTTCCTAGCACTGACCACTTGCAATAATCACTTTCGTATGACTTGTCAAATCCTACATTCCAAATCACAAATTGAGTTCATCTGTTAAAATGACTGCGCCAAATTATGCCATCAAAAGTAATTAATATTTCCGTGATGGGCGTGCTCAATTGCACAAATTTTCCAACCCACTTTTTCATTTGAAACGGAGGCGACGAAATGCACTAGTTTACAAGATTAGTGGCTGAGTTCTGGCTCCTAGTGCTGCCAAAAGCCACACCCATTTTAAATGTGACTAAATAGTGGACTGGAGTCTCATCAGCGTCTCCAACTAATTCTTCTATACACTTTTTAAGGTTACTCATTTAACGTTAGTAATAAAGCCCCCTTGAATACATAACGAAAAATCAAACAGGATCGTATAAGTTGGCAGGTTTACGATCAATCAAATCACACCTTCATCTTACTATACATGTGCATAATTTGGTGGATTTTGTCGAAGAACTTAAGTAAACCAGTAGTCTATAACCAAGTCATTCATGAATTCTCTATATGTTAACATCATCAAGGGTACTGTGGATTCGCATCCAGCTTACCTGCCTTTTGTCTTGGGAAAATCATAATGAGTGCATTTGTGGAGAAGTCGGTTTGTACGATGTTTAGAGCCCCAATGTTTGAAAGTGGCGTGAAAACGCGGCCTCCCTGTGCTGACTCACACGAGAGGAGGCAATGCCAAATGTGTTCAGGAGAGCACCACATCCCTCACACAGTGGGTGGGTGTTTGTAAGACCATTGCGTGCTCTTCTACTCCATTCTATTAATGATTTCGTTGTTGATTACGCAGCAAGTAATTTAATGGTTTTGTGATCAGCAATAATTGCAAAATATTGTAGTTATGTCATTTTACTACCAGGTCTAGCTACGACTGCCTCAGAAGCAATGAATCGTATGATTGATGGATGAAAGATTACGCCTGATAAAAATTGCATAATTCTTACGAAGATTGAAACGCTTAGATCATAATCTTTAGAATGCTTGACGCTTTCGTAAGGTGGTAAATAATTCTTTGCTAGTTCTCCATGTAATCACTTCGAACTAGCAAAAAATTGTGGAATTTCAGGTGATGCTTCTACCAATATCCACATCTAGCGGGTTTTTTTAGTCTGCGAAAAATTTAATTAAATTTGTTTGAACATGAATACTGATTCTTTGTTTAAATAAGGTAATTTATGAAGTTGAGATTATATCTCTCTCCATATATTTAATGAAAAGTTTCAATGAAGTTTCGACTAATTAAGGAGTTTTAAAAACAGCCGTCAATGCTACATGCTAAGTTCATTTTCATTAAGCCTCATATTTCATTGGTAGAACATCAAAAATCCATGGCAGACAAAAAATCTCCGTCAGCGCTTATTTGACTTGTTTTGCAAAGAGGGTAGGCACTCCGATAGAAACATTAACAATCTTACATTTCAGGAAGGAAGGTATTTAAACCACTCAACTTCTCTTTTTATGGATTCAAGCACGCCAAAAAAGTATTCCTGATCTGTGAGTAAACCAGGCCTATGATGTGCTGATCTTCGAGTAGCATGGAACGAATTGGCAAGTCTTTAACATACGTAAAGTTATAGGTACTGGGTCACGGTCAGTTGGTGTGCAGTTGTGCTCTAGAAAGTTCTGTGTGACATATTCTAAGGAAGGGCAATTCAATCCACAACTAGAAGTTTTTCCTCGAAAATAAGCTGTCTATTCAGTCAAAGCACAAAATCCAAGCACACGAGTCACTATGTCGTAATATGTATCCAAGCCTAAAATTAGGCCGCAAGACTTTGTGTTCTCACATTACGTGAAGTAACATAAACCGCGGCTGCGCTTAATTGTGGGAAGGCGAGTGAAATGTAAGCAAATGCAGCTTCCCCTTAAAGGTGATACTTACAGCAAAATTAGCAACTTATTGGCAAGGCAACAACTCAGACGTCTTCAAATCAACTACCTTAGCGCTCATGGCAACAAGATGATCTATTCACAATTCGCCCAATAAGTCGCGCTCGCTTCAATGCTGCAATTTGAAGTGTTTTATTCTTGGTTTAACTTGTAATTTCTTATACTTACTCGATGTGAGAAATATTTAAGCTCTCAAGACCCTAAAGTGGCTCGCGTAAGATCAGTTTGTTTAAACACATCTAACTATCCTTGTCAATTGCGCTTTCAGGTGGTAATTGCCATTCAAATTATTTCCTAATTATTTGACCCAAACCTCCTCCAGATCTGTCGGCCACACATCTGTGTCGGTAATTGATTTAAAGATTGAATGGTAACACAACATTTTTTGTTTTATGTTGATTTCGGTTCATCCATTAACTCTCGTTATTATTGCAGAAACTTGCATACAATCATAACTTTTTACAAATGAACGCAGTCTAATTCCCCTAAAAACATTGTATTCTTTTAGTATGCCAGAAAATAAATTTCTGTCTAGGGTTTTGAAGCAATCGAATTGCAGTACACTGGAATAGGGAAGGTTGTAATTCGACAGCAAGTCATGTAGGCATTACTGTGATATTGGCATAATTGAAGACATCGCTGAGGCAACGATCAAGATGCTTACTGCTATGGTTGCTTTAGCTCACGACTACTTGATAAAACAAAGGAAATTTTATTTGATACCAACTGTTACCTTAGGATTATTCCATTTTTTGTGCAAATCGATCTATATTCGATTCGAAGCTTTTCAAAATTTAAACTTGACTGAGGCACATGGAAGAGTTCGGAGATAAATCTATACCCTTTAAACCAATAACTCTAAAGCCCTTTGGAGTTTTTAGCCAGGGTTCAATCGAATTTTGACTGCACCTCGGACATTGAGGGCTCTGAATGCGTCTAGAGATATTTTAAATTCAAGCTTGGAAATCCTGTGCCTTTCATCATAGAAGCTCACTTCTTGTTCTGTCACCTCAAAAGATATAAAACAATTCTATGCTTTTTTGTATATGACTGTGTAGTTGGAAAAGAACTGGCCATCCAAACACCAAGTGCATCTAATTTGACAGCAAAATAGTGAATATAAAATGGGAACCGAAGTGAATTGAAAGAGCAACTTTGTTCATTAGCTTTAAGTGGTATAAAGGTAGCACGATAACAGTGAGCTTAGGATATTTCTCATCAAATCAAGTGGAACTATATGAAGTAAAAACCGTACTTTCGATGGAATGATGGCATTATGTTAATATCATCTACATGATCCGTTAGTTCCGCTTTCTCTATTGTGATGAATAATAGTGTGAAAGAGGTCGCAAAGTATCAGCCTCCTTGACTCAATGTAGGTGTCAGAAAAATTGCATCTTCTCTTTTGCCTGACTATGCAACCTGAGGTACTCATTTGATGCGTCCCTTAGGAGGCTAAAAGTTTTCATCGTCCAACATTCAAAAAGAGGGGCTTCATTTATTAGTCCCAAAAGCGGAAATGCCTCCTTTTATCCCTGTTCTGAGGAAACTTTACTTTCCTTCTGGAATTCAAAAGCGGCAAAAGATAAACCATTTCAAGACTGATGCTAAATTCCATTTATTAATTACTCATAGAGATATTTTTACATAATTTTTGGCTTTGGAAAAAGGCGATGGAGACAAATGCTACTCAGTACATAATTTCCTTTCCCACTCGCTCCCACCTATGCGTAAATGACGGAAGCAAGTCACTACCTGGGATAAATTTCCAAGCATTAGGCTAACGTCCATTAACACCATTCAGCTAAGTTTCATTAAATAACCTATCTTTTTCAAAATATTAGGATTTATATGCACAAGCCTATAAGATCGTATTATGTCCTCGCCTTTTACTGCCCGTCTTTTCAATATCTTACGGCAACGTCAATGATATAGAAACACCTATGCTTGTTTACTGCTCAGGCATTTATACCCGCTATTAAACCATCTGTTCATGTGCTACGGCGTTTCCCAGTCTAAGAGCAGCTACCACAGCATTGTGTGGTGGGGAATTGACGTATTCCCTTAGTCACGTGCTTACAGCCTTGTTTTAAGGGTGGGACTATTGGTGCTTTTAATGCTTTTGGCTTATTTTCAAGTCTACATACCTTACTACGATGTTTATTATGCCTTTTTTGGTTACAGCCTTAACCTCACCGAAAAATAAATTAATGTTCCACCATCAGTTTTATTTTATTTTATTTTAATAGTCAATCCAGATCGTGATTTAAATTCCCCACTGATGCCTTTTAGTGTTTTCAATATAAATATGTGTATTTATACATTAGTGATTATTAATTTACAAATGCTTGAAGAAAAGGCAATGCTGCCAAAGAGTCAACTTTAACTGTGCTTAGTGTTTAAACCTTTAAAGTAATGGGAAAAAGCTAAAAAGTGAGGTGAATGACACATAATGTGGAGTCTGGGTCGTAATACCACATTTTTAATGACAAGGGAAAAAACGAAATTAATTTGTTCGAAACATAAACACAATTTAGGGAAGATAGGAGAGTCAGAAGAAGTGGGTTCCCAAGTTCAGTACCGCAAAGGCACCACTTTGATGCTACCTAATTGGCTCATTTTATTTTCGTCGGAAGAAGAGCTGGAAGAATCACTGTCACTACTGTCAAGACGGTAAATCCTCTTTTTTTTGGGTGATTCGTGATGGCTGCGTTGCTTCGACTCGTTGGGCACATACACCTCGGTCAGGGATGTGGAGGTTGGAGTGGATTGGCGCTTGACGGAGACCGGGGTTACCACTGGCCGTTCAATACCATTCTTGGAACTGCTGCTGCTACTGCTCGACCTAGACTTGCCCAAAGAACGATGTCGTGGATCACTATGGTGGCTCTTATTTTTTCTGCGTAGTTCATCATCATTCGTGTATTCTGCCGGACGAGTTGTGCTATACATATAGACGGTACCATCATCAGAAATGACGGGTCCCCCGCTTGAGTCAGTACGAATGATTTCTACCTGTCTTGGATCGCCAACGCCCACTTCACCACATATAGAGCAAATACCCTGTGTTTTACCATTATGTTCATGTGACAACTCTGAAAAGGGTTTAAATTTTCCCGTTGCAAGGATAAACAAGGACTTAGAGGAGCCAGGTGCAGCTTTGGAATCATCGTTAAGTTGGTGATGGTTAACGCGGCTAGAAGAAACGAGTGGCTTTGGTCGATGCTCTCGTTTCGATTTTGATTGACGCCTAGATGATGAAGAAAAGGAAGAAGCTGATGAAATGGAAGACGAGGTAGAGACTGTTCTCGGTCGAGGTTTAGTCTTCCGGGTAGAACCTTTGTCTCTAACGCAAAAGGTAGATTGGCTTACAGGAGAGGATTTTGGTTTTTGTTGTTGCTGAGAGCGAATTTGATGTTCGTAAAGAGGACGTTCCTCGTAAACAACATAATGTGAACTAGCGTCTGTCGTCATGGTGCGGCGGGAAGCGGTGGATGTTCGACTATCCAAGAGGCCATTGTGTGGGTATTGATCACAGGAGCAAATAGGAGAACGAAACTGAGAACTAGAGTCCGAATAAGTATACGAGTGAGATCTGGAGCTTGATCTCGATCGAGATTTATTAGTTGGCATTTTGACTGGAGAGGTAGCAGTGCTCACCAAATTTTTGCACTCTGACCGACACTTTACGCAAACAGGCGCATTCACTTCCTTCGGATTGGCTGGCTCGTTCAAAGTCTCAATTTGTGAATGGTCGTAAGGTATGCTTTGTGGTGTGTGTGCGTCAGATTGGGTTGCTGTTGGCGATGCGGGTGGAGATGGTGAAAGCGACGGACTGTGAGCTGGTTGTCTAGGCAATCCAACCACTCCTGAAGTAGATAAATCCCCCGAAACTTCGGCTGGTGGATTTAACCTGGCCTGTGGTACTTCGTTCTCGTGAATGGGAGTGGTTTCTCGGCTCCCACTAGTGCGTTCACTTACACTTCCAGTAGCGTTTACGAATGCCGGAGAATTGGTGATGTTGTAAGTCGGTGATGGTTCATTTACTTCAGGTGGTTCAAAAACTGGGATTTGATTTTTTAGGTTGTGCCTCGGAGCGTCATCAGCGTAGGTTAATTCATCATCGAGTCGTGTAGCTTTAAGAGGCTGTTCAAAAGTCAGTACCAAATACTGTTGAGGACTGCCAGACACTTGAATGCCCAGGACTAGAACCTTTTTAGAGTGAGGAAAGATTTTGTGTAGTTTCACTTCAGAATACTTGATTTTTGAGTGTGGTGGCTTCTTTCCGATGTGAGAGGCCTTTGCTAGTTTCAGGGAGTCTGCCAATGCCGTCACCTTGATTTTTATAGGCTTTTTGTTATTTCCGTCTTTTTTTACCATAGCCTCCGCTTGAACGATTGAAAAAGGATCTGTCTTGGGGGCTGAACCGAAACCAGTTAGATAGCACTTTTCGTGAAAGTAAACTTCACCTAACCTCTTGTCAATAGAGATGGGCTTGAAGGGCTCGCGAGCAGCCATGTTTGTCTGCACCTTGTGGAATGCTCCCCCTGGAGTTTGCCCTGCAATAAATTTGAGACGAAAGAGCACAACGGTCTTCTAATCGTTAGCACATCTGCGGAATGATTGGCTTCTTTGCAGAAGACCCAATCAGCAGCTCCTTGTAAATTACTCAACTCACGCAAGGTGCTGGTACATGCGAGTCTTTAGTCTCTAGCGGATTATCGTCAATCATTGGATGGTCCTCCATCATTACTTTGCACTCTCTTCAAAATACCACCAACTCTATTTCTTCATGAACGTGTTTCTAGTATCTTTTCCTTAAGAAAATATTAAAGACTCCAAAACGCTGTTTAGCTAACCGATTTTGTAAATCGAATAATCCTTTAGGGTGGTTGGAGCTGCAAATCATAAAAAAAGACAATGATGAGAAGTCTTGCATTGCAAAACGTGTTGTGTTTACCACCGCACTCATAATAAGCTCGTATGCGTGTCACAGAACTGATGTGCAACTGTCACGAGGTTTTGAAGATTTCTCACCTTTCTTAAGTCCATCATGTGATTCATCCAAATAGGCGGATTTCAAAATGTAACACCTTACACATTCAAAACTTTAAGTATAGTGCTTTATCAAGCCATTTAACACCATTTCAAGGCATTTCAATTAGGTCTTTATGAACAGCTTAGAATAGGTTGCAGAATTTCGTGACAAAAGTTAATTGAAATGTCACATCATTGTACATTTGATCAATTAGGGTATCTTTGTTACAAAACAACTACCAATTGTGTGTTTATTGTGAAGTGATCTACTTATTAACCGATAAAATTATTTGCGAAGAATACCTCGAAGTGTGTTTAGAGGTCAGTCATTGTGTAGGATGCACTGACGGCCTGTCTTAAGCAATCTCGCCTAAATAAAGCCCGAATCACACTAACGCTGTTGCTAGTATGGTCACAAGTCCTTCCAACAACTTGCCCCGATAATATTTAGCTAAAATCTTAACGCTCATAATTGTTGCATATGTTCTATGCACTTATTTGATTGTATGCAGCACAGCAGAAGTCGAACATCACAAAACGGGCACCTTCTAAAATTTTACAGTAGTATCCTAATACACAAAAGTTGATATTATAATGTGCTTTGATCAGAATGAATCACTTAAATACACCTCTCTCGTAGACAGGGTAGCTTAAGCAAGAGGCTTTCCTTGTGTGCCAATCACAAACGCATGGATGACGCGTAGGAAGCCTTTGACATCGGCTTCAGTGCTTCTACTTATCCGTGAGAGTGATGAAAATGAAATAGTACTGTAACTACGTATAATGCGTAGGATTCAAAAAGAATCAAGTGTTCTTTCGTCCTCTACAACTTACCTTTCCTTATATGGTCGTTATTACCTTTAACTAAATAGGCATTGGAATGTGCTTGATAGTATCCCAAATTGCTAAGCGTACTCTGTTGTGTACCAGTTCCTAAACCACCTCTCCGGGAATTGTCCAAATATATTGCTTTAACCATTGTCCCAAAAGCCATTAACCTAAAGATTATTACGTTAGATTGAAAGTCACCTTGTAATAGTACAAGATGCCTAAAGCATTAGAAAAATGAATGCTTTACAACGACTGTGTTGACTCAAAAAGGTAGGTGGACATTAAGTAGATTTTGATGGTGTCTAACAAATAAATTTGGTTTGACTGTTAAGAAAGAAAGGAATGCAAACTTACCAGTGTAGAGTTTAAACGGCTTTCAATACAGAACCTTCTTTCGTCGAAGGATACCGGTGGTGGAGGTGGGTTCATGAAGTAGCATCTAGTAAGTCCGTAGTGCTGCTAAAGTGGAGCACAACATGACCCTCCAAGTAGCTGAATCCCTTCCTCGATCACGTGCATCAGTCTGCCCACTGGATTAGACCGACTCACGCTTTCTCCATAAATCTATTTCCTAGACACCGTTAAGGTCAGCAGTGGAAGTAGCAGTTGCAACATTGGGCTCAATGAGTCTGATTTTTCTTGTTACACTCAAATTTAAGCCTAGAGTGAGGAGAACGAGAGTGGAAAGTGAACTGAAAATTGCTTAACGATTTGGAGATAGAGAGTAGGTAAGTGGGGTGTGATAATGAGAATTTTTAGCTCAAAGTGTGGGCGAAATTGATGGCGTAATTACCATTTATACACCATATAGGTACATGTCGTATATTCCAAATTGGATGATTAAACTGTGCAGAGACGCATTTTCGAAATTCACATCTGGTAATTTTGTAAACTGCTAATGCTTGAACCAAAGAAGGTCATGGGCAAACGTCTGTCATAATTAACGTTGTTCTATCCATTAGACTGGTTAATTGCTTCGGGCTTGTTTAGTGTATAATACTTTGCTTCGTGTGTATTAAATTAATTGCCTCATTTGCTCAAAAACCTTTCCAGTTTAGGGACTTTTTCCCCAGCTATGCTCAAGTCAGCAAGCGGATGTACTTTTAAATATGGAGCTGAAAGAATTAAGAACGTCGGTAACTTTTTTTTATGATAGCTTTATATTATAATTGCGTAAAAGTGCAAATGGGATTGTGTATTTTTTACCAGCATATCAAGCCTGAAGAAACTCATTTATACTAGAAGAGCCTAGCAATCGTTTGTAATGACGTCTGTTGACCTACAATTTCAGGGTGCTCCCAACTTAATTCACCATAAGGAATTTTATTTTAATAATTGCGAAAGTCAACATCTTTGCTTCATTTATATTTCGATATACATACATAACAGCTAGGTTAATTTAGTCCAAATTATGCCAAGTGTGACATGGTACTGTGGAAGATAGACATTACAAAAATCATATATGATTTAGGATTTTTTATAAGCTCATGTGTGCACGAGAAGGTCTGCATAACAAATGCTTACTTTACGAGTTTGTCAGCTACTGGCGCTTGAAGTCTGCTTTAGACCTCAGCGAAGTGGCTTTCTCTTTTAATAGGAAGTTCTTCGCTTTCTAAGTAATACGACACATCATAAGTGCAGCTTTAAGTATGTAATTGGTTTTTTTTTGCTTAATGTAACGTAATTGATGTTATTAAAGGTACTCTAGAACAAATCAAGCTTCTATCTAATTATCATCTCGAGCTTCTCAGGGGGTCATAAAACTTGTAACCTTTCTTATCACCGATGGTAATTCATGCCTCAGTCCTTCCAGCTATTCTTAATTGACGAAAGGAAGCACTTCAATTGCATTTCACAGTTTCAACCGTTTGTGCTGTCAGTCTTGGCAAATCGGTAAATTTACGTATAAAATGGATCCTCTTACCTCGAAATTACTCAATATTCATCTTCCAGGTTTTGTGTCAAAGGGGTTCAATTCAGCGACTAACATGACACACACTCGGTATAATTAAGTACGCCTTTACTTAACTTCCTTGCTGCAGATTTAGATTCTATTACTGCATAATTTGCAACAGGGCAGTCGCAATATCCTATCGTAAAACAAGCGAAAGTGCCCACCTCTCACTACCCATCCCAATGAGGTTTAGTAAACACCGTGCAAACAGACACCATTCTCCTTCTGGCCCCTTTCCAACAAATTCTCAATGTGCATATGCAATTACAACACTGAACGGTTGCGTCAGCGTTTGTTGAGTTTCACTGCGCATTTCCCACGCAGGCAGTGGAAACGCATAACCATGAGACCGTTTCTTGCTCGTACCACTAAGCAGTGCCTTAACCGGTTTTGCTAACCATCACGTAGGGGAGAGCAGCAATGGGAGAAGGGTAGTTCAAAAACAGCAGAATGTGGTGATTTTATTTCAAATACAATCATACTTAAAGATATATTTAAAAGTACTTTCATTTTAGATTTCCCACCTTTGTTTGGAATTAAGCACACAATGCTTTGACAAAGCCCACTAAAATTTGTGGTAAAATGTATAAAGTGGTGCATAATGTGATGCTGATGGCAGATTTCAATGAATTTAAAGTTCATAGTGCTTTACGATAAATAAACATTTGTAATAATTTGCAAAATTGACCTTTCTAACTTTGCAGCTGGAATTACTTCATAAAGACACAGGTGGCCTGCTGTAATGTGCTGTGAGTTTCAGCTAAAAAACTCATTAAATTTTCATAAAGGTCTAATTACAGTTAGGGATCTTCTATTGAAACGAAGTATGTTCAAAGTGCTGGATTGAAGGAAGGTACTACTTAACTAACTTCCCGATCTATGGTCTAAAAATGTTAAACTGTTACAAAACGGTTTATTTTCTTATGGTTGTATCTAGCGGTACCAATGTATCAACCATCCACTCCCTTGCTAGATGATTATGCGAAGATTACTGGTCATCAAGTGGCGTGACAGTGTCTAATCCCTCTCTCATTACTTTAAAGTCTCAAAAACAAACTCCTCGTTAATTTTTGTCTGGGTTGTTTCTAAGTTCCCTCTTGAGGCCCATTTCACCTACACCGTTAACGCCTGCGCTGCTATCCGGGACGCGCCGGAGCTCGTAAATGTGACCCACTTGATGCAAATTTGAACGCGACCCAATGCAGCCACCCGCATTTATCCATCAATCATTCACAAGAAGTGTTTCTTCACATTTTTATATTATTAACTTAATAAAAAGCCTGTTAGATGGTTTTACAGATTCTTCCCAATTTTCGTTTTAGTGTTCAAATGAACCAGGCATGATACTTTGTTTTTAAAATTATAAATAATTAAAATGTTCAGTATCTCTAATGTGTTGACGCATTATATCGAATAAGGTAGTTAATTATACCCCCACTTCTAACCTGAAATGGAGCTGTTTTTTTCCATTTTTCGATGCAAAGGTTATATGAGATGTAAGTAATTTGATAGCACCTACGAATCGCTTGGTCTCAGTTCATACTTCATTCACATATTGTGATTACTCATGTGGTTGGTGTTTTGGCTGACTTTCTATGTCCCAGTATCGTTAAGCCCAACGACCATTTCAATGAATCAGTGTCCTGAATTGTAGGTACAATGTTATGCAACACACCAGGCGTCTACTTAACATGTAACTATTTTAATGCGGTTAATAAAATTCCCACCAATAGGCTGCCCTTAAATAATATTAACACGATGCATGGTATGTCAGTAACTAATTAGACCCTAGAGTATCATAAGTGATGAATTAACCGAACCACTTACAAAATTTTGCAAAACTAAGAATCGTTGATGACAAAAGTAATAATCGTACTAGTTTTATACCTTCAGAGTTCTCACCAACCACGGCAGAAACAGTATCATTAATTTTGTCGGTAAAATGATCGAAAATGTAGGTTGGACAATTCCCAGTCCGAATTTTGCTTATATGCAGCTCCCTGACTCTTTTTTGTAACTTCCCCCTCTAACTGCTTCTTCTTCAGTAGCTCTTCGTATGCAAGTCCTGTTTCTCGAATTGTCTCCCAATTAAATCGACCGGAATCGTATTCAATCATGTCCGTCTTGTCACGGTATTTATAGAGATTGCGCGTCTCAACAACTTTGCGATAGACCTCAGCCGCGAAGACATCCGCATCAGCATTTTCGTAGTCACACGTCTTCAGCGCCTTCTTGTACTTCTTACTAATCGATCGGAGGGCCAGAAAGTACCGCAAGGAGCGGAGGCTGCTGACGATGCATCCGATGATAACCGCTTTGCAGAGAAAGAGTATGATGACTGAGAGCATGAGAGAGGCCCCGATGGCGATAATCTCCATCTGCTGCTCACGAACCCACCGCTCTATATGGCTCTGTGGGTGTGCAAAGAAACGCGCAGTTCGACGCACCTTTTGCCCCAACAGATCGTAGTCGAAGTGTTTTGCGTAGGCCTGCAAACTCGGGTAGAGTGGGTCCCACACTAACTCCTCCTCCTGATTCAACGCGCCAGCCATTAGCCACTGTTGTGACTATCGATTAGAAAATTGATAATGTTATTTTGAATTCTGCAGTCAGCTTTTTGAAGAGAGGCTTTTCACCATTTCATTAGTAAGCGCAGGATTGAAACGGTCCATAATACCTAATGTTTCCATCAGTGTGATGTTTACCCATTAATAGTAAGTAGAAATTGTACTAATAGGCGATTTGCCGAATCACATCCTTAAAATAGATTAATTTAAAAGCCAGATAATACCTAAAGGAAAGGACAGAAAAATTGCAATCGCAATTTCCAGCATGTGGCAATACCTCAAATATGAATGAATTTGTGGCCAGTAAATAATAAAACCTGTGAAAAAGCAAACAAAACTGTACAGGCAAATTTATTGATTAGGAGTTATATACAGCAATAATGGCAACAACTTCATCGCTTTCAAAGGCGTCTTTACGCTTACGCTCAAATAATGCAGAGCTAACCTCCCTTGCTGGAGAAAAAGATGTTTCGTCCACTCGCCACTGTCGCCAATTGGTTAAGGCGATAAACTTTTATTTCACAGCCACAATTCTTGCACTCACGCCCACTCATACCATCTGCTGTGAAAACCTTTTTGAGGGGTCATAAGCTGAGCTAATCTTTTGCATCAGATTGTTGCTTTCGAATGCAAGCGGCCCGTTTGAATTATTAGTTGAAATTACTTCTAATTCCCACGAATCACTTTCTTATCTTATTACCACGTCTCCTGCTCCCCTCATTAGAGTGGACCTGCGTAGACTACCTGCTACTAAAGAGATTACCTTAAAAATAATCATTTTTTCCATCGTTGTTTATCCCTCCGTGCGAAATTGAATGCTTGATGCGTGGGTTAGGGTTTTACGCTCACCGATCCTCGAAATTGCGTTAGTAACGCTAAGGTCTGATCAGTAGGAAGGTTATTTCTAAACGTATTTATCTATTCTATCAAAATATAGGTCGAGATAAATGCTCCACCCAAAGATCAGTGGTCATGATGAAGATATTGGGAAACATACCTAGACTTTAATAAACAGCAGGAGAAGTGGTGGGATAACAGTCAAAGTCCCGCTTCACTCCAATTAGGTGACTTTGGCTCTTCGATAGATCGAAGGGTTATGAAAGTGGTAGCGATGAGACACGCTTACAGCAGTGGGAAGTTGTTTCATGCACATGAAAACATGCAATAAAAGTATACTATTGAATCTCTAATCTATCTACCTGCGACCACGGCCTTCAATTTTTTAGCAGAAAAACTTGTTGTAGTCTTGGGTGTTTGCATAAATTAATCGACAGTATCACCTGGCTTGTAACACTCAGCCGTCATCTTACAGATTTAAAAACGTTCGGATTTTTTTACCGAGCTCAGTCCACGCCTCGTCAAACCCCTTGCATACGATGCGTGCCCTTTGTTTTCTGAAGGAAAAACAAAAGCGCACTGCACAAGGATGTGAAGCTCTCAGTCCCGCCTTATCCCCATTTTGCCAGCTTGATCCGGCGTCGTGCTGGCCTGGATACACGTGGACATCGCGGCTGCATGTGGCACCACTTCATTAAATAGTTCCAGATTTTTTTGGAAATGTGAATTTGAATATAAATATGTAGGATACTAGCTGAAATTGATTTATGAATTATGAGCAGAAATCTTGCGAGGGTTTCACGACCAGTCTTTTGAAGAAGCCCGGTTTCCCGTACACTTTTAGTATTTACCACTTATCTTTACCTCCAACAGCACTTGGCGCATGCGGCGCGGTATCACTTTTCACAAACGCAACTGCAAATCGCCATCTCGTAGCTTCCTCCGTGCACAATTTGAAAGAAGCTAATGCCAACTTGTCGCCTAATAACTATTCCACTTATACAGATTGGTCCTCAGACTCGCAACTTCTGCGTCAGTTAAATCACCTTGTAATGTTCATAACTTCCGATATATCAAATATTTGGAGCTAACCTGGTCCGAAAAACTACAATTAAACAAAAGCGAAGACCTCCACTGCCGTTAATTAGCTGATATACAATTAAAATAAGCACACTTTTCAGCTAATCCAAATGAAACTAGATAACGATCTCCACTTTGCTTACTCCCTTTTCATTGCGATGGAAATCCCATGTAAATAACTTAAACTCGCTATCCAGTCGGGAACTTATGATTGATCGCCCTCACAATGGAGAGAAAGCTATTGCGAAATACGTATCGAGTTACCCGGATGTTCGCGAACTTTGTCTAAACTTCAAGTCTTTTCGGCACGCAATCACGCCTTAATTAGTGTAGAGTGGACAAAAGCTGCGCTGAACTTTGGAACCAATTGATATGGAATTTAAAATCTCCTTCCTTCTAATAACTGAATCTTCATTGCACCTCAACAGATTCGACACAGATCGCAGGAGTCAAAATTAATCAGATTAGCCTGATAACGCCCATCTCTGCTGCCAAATGATAGTCAAAAAACTACCGAAAGGATGTAAATGCCCCATTTAGGACCGGAATTTTACGTGTGCAATGCAGGTAAAGTCGGGCACAGTCCATCCAAGGCAAAATACCGCGAAGTTAATGTAACCACATTTCTAACTACTGATTTCAAGGAATTTGCATTGGGAAGTATATGATCTTCCTGATGACTTTAACGAAAAAATGTTAAAAGTCGTGAATTGGAGACGAAGTAAAGTTGTATAGTAGCAAATAATTTGTTGAGAAAGCAGCGCTAGATAAGAAGGGCTTTTCAAGAAAATAATGACAAAATTTGATGGCTTTAAATAGGAAGCGAATGAGTGCACCTAAGGCAAGTAAAATCACAAATGAGTGTGCATAGCTTAGAATGTGAGTATATTCTCCTTGCTGTGGCCAAGGGCTGCCAGATTTGGCAGACAGGCGTTCTTGAGCATCGAAGCCGGCCCACAGAGCAAATTTACAGTGGTGTTGCTGGCTGGGTAGCAGTGTTCCTCCAGCATCTTCTGATCCACGTAACCCACATCGTAAGTCCAATCTGCAAGAAAGTGCCCATGCTACGATCGTACTTTTCTTCCAAGTTATAACTATTCACACAAAAACATCAAATCCTTTTCAAGTCAACCTTTCTTCGAGAAATTAACGAACTTTTCAGCAGTGCCTATGATCGGTTTCATGAATACAGAAGAGGGTGTGCATAGCGACCTCAAGGGATGAACCAACTGCGCTTACATGAAGGAGGAGTGGCACCCTTGAACGGACTACTCAGATGTAAACTGGTAAAGATAGTTGTAAGAATCAAAATTGGAATTATGCAGTGGAGTGATCACGATAAGGGCAACAAGATAATGGCAGAATGTTTTAACGCTAACTACTTAAGCAATTTCTCGCCATGCAGATAAACATGTGGTATTAATGCAAACAGGGTTGCAAGAGCAAACTCGTTTTATGCTGTGGGGGGCTCTCGGTGGCAGTATCGATCTCGCTTTGCAAAGCGGAAACGCACACATGAGTCTTGTGGCAGTGTGCGTTTTTGACAACCAAACAAGCACTCAAAGACGAATCCATTAAGACCGAGCTCTATCACAGGTAACTACGAATAGCACTGAAATGAAGAGAAGCACTCATACAAAAACAGGAATATACACAAGCAAAATGACCCCACTACCATTACTTGTCGTGTCCTTCAACACTAGTTTTGAAGCAATGATAAAAATTACGAGTACCTGCAAAAATTTCAACTGCACTTGTTTTACTTTAGGAAAACAACCTTTTAATCAATGTAAGTAATAAGCCTTAGACTAAATGCTATGTTGACACCATCTAGAGAACAATCAAAGGAATGGAGCGCGCCATTCCATATTTGCAAATGATTGGTGCACTTAATCAGGTAGAAACTCACGCTGTGGTGGACTTTCCACTGTGTACCAAATACGGAATTGAGCCGAGTTCTGGTCGCGGAGCTGTTCCAACTCATCTCGCAGGAGGATATCTTTCTCAGCCTACAAAAAACGCGTCGGTAATGTGAAGTCAAACACGACAAGGCAGCCTCAATTCATAAAAAAAAACAAACGTCCCGTTGCCGAGTTCTACTTTTTCCATTTTAGAGGCAGTTTACTAGTACTAGTAACAACAACCTCAAGGTCAAAGTCCTATGACTTCTAAAACAAGTATTCTTCGAAGTAATGCGCTCTAGAAACCGCCATAAAGAGCGGATTATTTCACATCACAATTCTACCATGAAAAGCTGATAAGTGACGAATAAATTGCATAATGAAGCGCCAATCAGCATTCGATAGAGTACTGCATCAACAATACAGTACTTTACGCAGTAAAAAGTAAAGCATTATTTGCTCATGCTCCTCTAACCTCCTGCAAAGCACAAGGTAGAACACTTCCGCACGGGCAGGGAAAACTAGAAACCTGTTTACTATCTGTATAAACGGCCAAACATACAATAGGCGCTATATGCTTGACAAAAGTGCACTCTACTCCACCACTGCCCCCAAGGCTAGAACTCGGCATCAGGACGCCACTATTAATAGTGTGGAAGTCCAGCCCAACAACTTTGCATCCCTTTGAACCATCTGTGCAAATTTTAATCATTCTATTCCTGGATTTGATTATAATTGCAAATTATAAATTTGCAGTGATAGCCGGAGCAAATTAGACACCTACTTGGTTAGCGAAAATCATGGCAATTTTCGTCCTGTCGGAAGAAGAATTGAGAATATACTTAAGTAGCTGATACATTGGAGTGAGCCCAGTGCCACCACAAATCATGTTTATGTTGGTTGCCGACAGTTTTCGCGCACTCCCGCCTTTGACCTCAAACAAGCCTGAATTAGAAACAGAGGAGTGGAATAAAAACAACGACAAATTATCTGAAATTTAATGTAGGAATCTTACCATCACCACAATAATGAATAAGCCCAAAAGGACCGCTGACTTCCATGGCATCTCCAACATCCAGCGTTTCGAGATATTGAGTCATTTTACCACCAGCAGGGAAATTAGGATTCACATTTTTTCGATACGCCTTGAAAGGTTAAAGGCATTGTAATTCTTCTGCGTTAAAACGCAAATTAAAGCCCTCTAGACGATACTACAACCAAAGAAGTTCTTTTCCACAGGCAGCTCTCTGAGTTCAGTAGGATGAGAGATAACATGCTTTAAGCGAATCTAAACGCTCCAAATATTAATTGTAAGGGTAATCTCTCACGCTGTAAGTAGTTTACTGAACGATTTATACGGGAGAATAAAAAGCACTCAAAACATGGATAGGTGATATTTCACAAGTCCTTTCATAATCCACAGAAAAAAGTGCCTCCAGAATTATCAACGACGTCAAAATTTTGCAAACAATTAAAAAGCAACAATAAAAGTATATGGACTTATCACTAATAGGCAAACCTTAATTAAAAATTTCACGTATCCTTTGAAGTCGTCCAAAGTAACCGGAGTGTACGGACGTCTTACGTCCTCACCATCGATTCTTGCGTGCAATTGAACACAGTTGCCTAGCAGTTTAGGATCACAGCATCAACATGCATACCAGCAGGGACACCAAGCACATATTCGGTTGATGGTAGACCAAAAGTATACAGTGTTGTATCATGAGTGATAACCTAACATAAAACCTGCTAATAATGACCACACCTGTTTGTCAACCAGCCGCATGGGTAATTTGATATTTTGGCCCTGGAGGAATACCTTGTCCGATTTCTTGAATACAAGTTTAACTACTAATCCCCCAGCTAATGCAATTGCAGCAATACCAGCAACAACGGAAACCTAAAGAAATAGACATTGCCTTGTAAAAACTACAGGAATAATCCATAGAGCATCTTTCGAATCAAACACAGCCATTCCCTGCAGCGGAAAGCAGACAGTGATAATCGAACTGGCCACAAAGTAGCACTTATCAAATTGGCACATTAAAACAAATTTGGGTTAAGTAAATGATTGTTCAAAGCACACGCCTTATAATCAATAGTAGAAAAGTTTCTTAAAGAACAAAAGTCATTCATAGGGAATCATATTTCACACATGTAGAGTCAACGCTTGGCTGCAATGGAACACAACAAAAAAGTAGTGAACTTCAGAGGCCTTCAACTAACTAAAACGTCCTCGCATCTTGCAGACCACTTCTGTGCCGAATCGCATCCTGGAGAAAGACCGCTAGCAGGGCGCCACGACCCGACCGGAACCCAAATCAAGGCAGGTCAGGCCGGCCGGGTCACGCCAGAAAGCATGTTAATGAAACAGCAATCAGACCAAGAGCTGTACGTAGAGAAGAGACGGAATGCACCCCCCCCCCCCCCCCACGGTTCCAACCAAGGCCCTCCATCACGGGCGCCTCCAATGAAACTAGCACCCACTCAACGGAAGGTGCACGCGCAATCCCCGACCGTTCGAGACCACCTCCACGACCGAAGCTGCAGTGGCGACGCAAGCCAGACCACAACTGAGTGCGCAGCTCCATGCAACGCCTGCACCCGGGGCATTGACTACATTAAAACACCATGAGTTACCAGTAAAAAAGAGGAAAACGAACTCCACGCTTTTAACACAATTAGCAGTAATAAATGCTAAAAACGTTCCAGAACCTCGACGATATTCACACTGTTGCCCCGAACCACGACAGTATCAATGTTAATCTGTTGTCCAGACTTTGATATCTCTTGGCAATCATCAAGAACCATGTTCATAAAGGGATCAAAGCCCCGTAAGACGCCAACAACTTCGCGATTTCCATTTAACTTTACTATTTAAAAAAAGCGAAACAACAATTAGTATAAAACAATGGTATCTAAATAAAGAAGCAAAAATAACAGGCAGTGAAAGGACGTCATCAAGCATAAATGCAAAGGAACTGCAAGGACATCAATAAACTAGTACTAAATCAGACGCAATAACAATGGCATTGGCATAATGACTTAGCGGCTGTCAACACAATCACAGAGTGCATAGGCGTTCCGCCAAAAATAGCAACGAAAAGTGAGCGAGTAGAGGCATCAGAAATTAAGTAAAAAATAGGGACCAGCGACATCAACAACTTACATCGAACGCGCTTATCTAGGTACCTACAAGAATAAAATTACTTTAAAACCGACACCATACTTTTTTAAATCCGGCTGATGTGCAGGGCTCATCAGAGAGGCACGACCCCAAAAACGCGCAACTGGGAAGTCCAGTAAAACACTTCTCACTCCTAAAAAACATTCTATACTTTGCGCTTGACAAATTATTGATGCATGCAATTAACAGGTGCTAAAAGCAAATGAAGTCAATGTCTGCATTTAAATAATATTTTTTTTAAATTGAACATAACAGAAATGCACTGAATGCCTTGATAATAAATGGTCCAAAATATCCTTCAACAATTGAAACATTTGACTTTTTACATCTCTGACATTAAATAAATCTCGCCTAATTTTATTTTTTTTCCATCCATCGTGTTTGAAATCAAGACGGGCTTCTAATGCAATATGATGCTAACTCATATTTCTTTGTTGAGGTGGGGCCATTTTATACCCTTTTGTACTCCAAACAGTATACCTTTTTTTAAATCATATCAGTAACCTGGATACCCTTCGTTTGCAGAAAAAATAAACTCTGCATGTGTATTATGGTCTCTCTCATCCGTAAGGAGGTATCGTAGCACTACGTTGGTGGCAGCAGAGTGCAAATGATTTTAAGAGATTTGTGATAAACCTTGTCGAGGTGAAAGAATTGCACATACCATAGGCCGGGTAAGTCGGAGACGACCCTTAATAGCTTGGCAGAAAATGACGCCTACTTTTAGCAACTATTCCAGTTTCGTTGTCTTCAGGAAAGCTATTAATAACAGAAGCGACGCCAGCTACATGCCACCTGAGACCGCTCCTTTACTGAGGTGTCTACAGTACCTGTATGTTAGGACCGATTATGTGGAAACGCTATACGTTCTCCACCACTCTACTGGTTAGATAGAACCCAGATAGATTTTGCTAGGCTCTTCTGAAACTAAACAACGTGGCAAAATAAAAAAACGGACCTTTACCCTCATGCAACTACATTCGATCCTGTCATTTGTTAGTAAAATTTGTTTTTATGTTAGTGTTCCTGCAACTGCCTATGGACACGAGTGTTGGCCAGCACATTTCCTCGTCTCCAAGTCCACTTCCTGTATATGTTGAAGCTCCAGACTCTATACGATTACCTTGAGAGATCTGTCAGGTATCTCTCTAGTTTCATGGATGTTCAATGACTAACACGATTGGCTCGTATGTGCTCCCTTACAGCACCACTCCGGTTGTGACAGCTGATGCGAAAGGTAAACCAAAATGAGCACCGAGGATGATGCTTAAAATATGAGAGTGTTTATACAATATATGGCTTGTTTACTCCTCGATTTTGGCAACGGGTCAACTTTGGGTCAGCCTAATACACTTAAAATGCGTGTTCTTTCCTCCAGGCTACGCCATTGTCCCCCATCCCTTCCGTGTATCGAATGTGTACATTCTGACTATTGTGACTTAGTTTTTAGGTAAGCCACGGGGTGCCACATTAATTGATGTTCTGGCCCAAAAAGGATCTCCTCCTAATCAATTTAGCAAAAAATTCTAAAAAATACGCTTTAGAGTTTGTTTTACGGAACAATTCGCCTTATGCATCATTAGTGAAAAATGTGCATCCGGTTTCTGTTGCTGTGATATTTTCAATTCATGTTTAATGATCATACTACTGCCAAATGTATTCTTAATAAAAATTTCCGAGACAGTTGTTAATGCCTAACAGCTAGTAAACCACTACATTTCCTTTTGTGTAGGTTTTTGTTGTCGCTGTCATCCGACTGGTGTCACAAAGTCAACCCTCCAATTATTGGTGCGCTTTTAGCGCCTTGCTTAAGAAAGTTGCGGGATTGACGTAGCACTTTGGGAGTATGCATTCCATTTTTGCCCGCATCAGTGCTTTATCTGCACTCTTGGGATCCACCTTGTTTGCGTTAATGTTTGCTACATTTTTGTCTACTGCTTTTCTCGATGAAACTATCCCTGTTGATTTGGGAGTTGGTAACGTCGTCGTGCAGGTTGCGGAGGATTTCACAGTTTCTAATCCTACAAGAAATGATCTGGGTAGACTTCGTATCGACATCAAGGTACCGTTGTCATTTCTTGCATTTCTTTTCCCAGGCCAATGTAGAACCTCTTTTTAACTGGAACGTGAAACAACTATTCATATTCTTGGCTGCCGAATACAAGACACCAAGTAATTCAGTTAATCAAGTTGCTCTTTGGGATAAGATTATTCGCCGTGGTGAAAGCTATGATATCGAGTATAAGAGCATGAAGGGGAAGTACCCATTCTGGGACGATGGCTCCGGACTCCGCAATAATGAAAATATTACTCTGAAGTTTTACTGGAACATAATTCCCAACGCTGGTATGATGCCTCTCAAATCAAGTGGAAGTCAGGTCGTCTTTTCCTTCCCTCCTACGTACTATGAAACAGTGCAGTAACCCACCACCCTCTCTGGAACCGAACTCACTCGTGTACGCCTTCGAATATCGAATATATCTAGAAGGCTTGGCCTATTCGCCTTTTTCCAAACAAATGCTAGCTTCCTACATAGGTAGGAACAACTGCAGACTGTTTTGCGACCAACACCCCCCCCCCCCTCTAATTAGAAAAAGTGCTCATAGAAGTCTCAAATCCACAGTAGCATATTTGTAGAAAAACGCTAGTAAACTTGGTTAAATCTCACTTACACCCAGAGTGTCTTCTATAAATCGTTTGTACATTGCCATAAAACCAATTATAAAAGCTTCCAAATGAAATATGGGTTTTTGTCCAAGGTGCATGCGATGCTCGTGGGTGGCCGCCAAATTCACCAATTCGTACTTGATGGTGCTGTCACAAGATGAAAGGAGACTGTCCAACAAGCCCTACAATGCAAAGATGCTTTTAATGACCTGTTTTAGAACAAGAATTCCGGTGCTCGAAAATGCCTCTGAGGCAAGTCTTACCCGGAAAACTACGTCGGGCGGGACACAATGAGCCAGTAATTCATAAAGCCTTCCACGAATCTCCAAAACCCTGCGTTAGAGTAGAATCACGAAAGTAAAAACAGGAGCTTAATATAAACTACGGGACATAATTCTGTAGTTAGTGTAAACGCGCCCGGCTGGTCCCCAGACAGCAAAATACACGATAGAAGTAGTTCTTTATCAGGGAAAAACGTGCCTACGAGGACTTTGCTCTCCAAGAATACGGGAAGCTGTGTCAGCAACGAAATTTTGCCAGTCGGGCAATAGAAGAGTTTGCTCGCAGGAGTAAGGGTAGTGCTGAGCACGCGCAACTTCCGCCAGAAGTAAACTTCTTCTCAGATTTCGATCTGAGGCGACTGCAATACGCTTAGCCAGGTCCGTTGGCATAATCAGTCCCTCCAGTTTTGCAACGTTGCAGAGTATGTTTACAATATTCTCCACAGTGGGAGCGGCCACGCGAATGGGGAGGCATCGAGAACGAGTTGCAGAAATGACCTACATAACATTTTTGTAATCAAATGAAAACATGCTTTGGAAAGTGATTCTGTACAAAGGATCAGTCGGCAGGTTTTCATGTATTTTTCCATGGTTCTTCGGAGGGAATGCTGGGCATCTTTACTAAGGCGATTCACCTCATGAATAACAACCACTTTGAATTCCCGTTGGTTCGTAATATCCAGTTGCGCAGTGGACGCCATGTCTTTTATTAATTCTTGAATAACAATTCTGTCATAAATTCCAACATCGCTGAAATAAGGGTATAGATAGTTAGGAAACGAAAACTTTGTGTGGGGATAACATCAACGAATGTACAGAGAAAAACGAGCAGCCTGTAAAGTAAGTACCACAATTGAGACATTCACATGCCTTGGGTTGACTTCCAAATGATAGTTACTTGAAACTGTGGACAGGTTGATTTTCTTCTTTGAGGGAGTTGTGAAAGTATGATGTTCAATTCGCAGCTTATCAACACCCCCTCCGTAAAGTTCGCGAAGTAAACAAGAAACCCGTGTTTTTTTTCCAGCACCTGGTGGACCGTAGAAGAGAAGATGCGGAAAGTCACCACTCGTTACCTATAACTGAGGTCAAATACATTGGACCTACAAGCTTCTTGAGAGTACCGGCTTCCTCAACATGATAGTCCAAACTGTCCAGCGACCTGGGCCTATATTTGTCAACCCAGAGACTCATCGCAGCCGCAAAGTTAGCACAAAATTTGAAGACCGCACCACGTGCAATCTAATCAAGAAACGGTGGAAGGGCAATTAAAATGAATAAAACATATAAGAAATGTCAAAATTAGTTAACATTTTCAATATCAAGGTAATAAGGCAATTAATGGCATTAAAAGATCAACCGAGTTAGACTCTAATGGTTTAATTCGCCTCAAAATTGTGCGCACTTAAGTAATGCCGCCAAATGTCCTCAATTGTCGTTTATTATGGCATGTATTCTAGGAGTACTTACGGATCAGCAATGGATGCTTGAAGCATGACCGGCCTTAAATTCAAATTGTTTTACGACACCAGGAATCACACCAAGGAGCCAAGTGTGAAACCTTAAAGATAATATTAGAATTCCAAAATACATGCTACTCTTTCCAAGGGTGGGCTTGTTTATATTATCCATTTTTGAGCCGCAGGACGCGGAATATGTCGCCTCTTTGGATCGGCATCTTTCGAATGCTGCTGGTTCGGTCTTGTCTCGTTTCTTTAGCATTTGTTATGAATGTAGCTCATTCTGTTTAGCCCAATTATACCTTGAAATCGCAACAACCCCATTCTAACACATACTCCTGTGTATTATTGATAATAACCTGTTTGTTAGCACTGGAACGGCTTCCCTTCCTGACTCACAAAAAATAATTCATTTTACGTTAAATACCATCTTTCTATGTTAGTTTACATTTATGTGTGCTCAGACTTACGCATTAAATATTTTGTCCCTTGTAATTGCCCGTTTCCCATTGATGGGATCGTATTGTATGTTTACTACTTCTTCCGGAATTGCTTACCCGAATATTTTTGATGACGTGCGGATTCTTTTCATGATAGCCACAGCGGCATAAATCATGTCACGTTCTAAGAAGATTAGTCTTTCCCTACTAAATGGTCACCTAATCTGCGGATTGTGCGGTGGTTATTTAATCGATGCAACGGTGCTCACGAACTGCATCCACGCCTTCTGTCGCAGTTGCATCCTCAAGTACATAGCAGAGCTGAACAATGTGTGTCCTCTTTGCCAAACGCTAATACAAGAGGGACGTTCATCCCCTAGCTGCGATGCGCTGCGCCCTGATGTTACATTGCAGCGTGTGGTTTACAAGCTTGTTCCTGGTCTTCTCAAAGTTGAAATCGATCGAATCGCCGAATTTCGTAAGCGTTATCTTAAGAACCCCGCCAAAGTCATTCGCGAAGTGCGTCATTCCTGCAGAGAATCACAGATGTTGGAGGACACGGGCTCAACTGATAGTGCTGTCTCTGGTGCGGTTTTATTTCATTCAGGGCATTATAAATCAAGTGTATCGTGTGTTTTCAAAGAAAATGTTCTATTTTAAGTGCCAACGAAGATCATGACTTTTTGGCTTAGATTTCTAGAAGAATACTGGGTTTAATCGTTGTACGTTGTTTTGCTAATTTATTCCCCTTTTTTTTAGGTCTGTCTTCAACACCTACTCCTTTGGCCACCCGTTCTCTATCTCGCGGCATGAATTGCCTAAATGAGTTGTCGAAACGTCGTACGGTTAGGTCATTTCCGCCTGCCACGTCTATTTCCTGTCTCATAGATATAACAGAAAGTGTCAGTCTCTCCTTAGATCCCCTTTATCACCCTCCCCTTCCTGATTCCCAATCTTCAACCGGCCAAATCTTTTACGCCACTATGTACCTTCTTTGTCCAGCTTCCTGTACTGTTGCTCATTTGCAGCGTTTTCTATTAGCCAAACACTACAACATTTCGGCCCTGGGCTTCTGGACCGTGGATATCTTTCTCCACTGTGAATACTTAGAGCCAGCTCATAGTCTGCGGGAGCTTGCATTTCTCTACGCTTGGCCAACCCAGCGTCGTGTCCTACCACTGCTTTATCGCTTCTCCGACAGCCGCGCCGTTTGTTGGGGCTCGCCCTTGCCCCGTCTTGATAACCCATCGACGTCCGCCTCGCCACCGTCAAACAAAAAGCGAAGGCGGCTGGCGGCGTAACTCGCATATTCCTTGCTAATCGCAATGCCTCACCGGGCTCTGCGTCCTTCTGCCGCCCGTTATTTTATTCTGTACGTGCACGTCCGCTACTTTACTGGTGTCTTTCAAAGAGCTGTGAGGGTTCTTATGCGGCTGCAATTGTAAACTTGCGCTATCGCTCTCCTATTCAGATTTCATGCTGCGCTTAATTTGTCTGCATTTGCTCTAGTTATCCATTTGAGAAAGGTCTGATCTTATTTGCAAATACATGTTATTTTGAAACTTGTCTTACTTTCTGGTGTGCACTCTCCAATAGTGAGCTTGTTTTGCTAAACTGGAGTTTAATACATGCCAATACTTAGGTCTGTTAACGTATAATGAAACTGAGTATCCCGATTAATGGATGTCGTTACTGATATTGTAGTATGGTAGTATCACGTGATTTGATAAGTATGAAAAGGATTGAGTAGTTCTTATGTTGCAATCCTAAATATATTGTGGTGCGTACGCGCATGCACATTGCTGTCTACCTGGTCACTTGCCAGCGTTCGGAAAGTTAATCACGCCTTTCATTTAATGTTTATTGAATTAAATGGCGACTTAAAGAAACTGGACGTAAAGTGATTTTGATGAATATCTCACGGGCCTGACAATATAAATATACAATTTGTGGCAATGGCGCATACTTTTAAATGTACTTACAAGACTGTTGGCATATGGAATTGTGCATTTTATGAGTATATCACTAAATGGAATAGTGTTAGATTCAAAATATGCCTCTTGATTATTAATAGATTTTAATGCTAGGTTACCAAGATTTCTTAGTTTTAAAATACGTATCGCAAGGCACTTCTGCATTTAAGGGGTGATCTGAGCCCACATCATCAGAAGTTTAAGGAGGGGATAATTTAAAGCAATGACTAGTATATTATACCAAAGGGTACTTAGGAGGATTCAGATGTATTAACTGTAGCTTTTGGAAAAAGTGGTTTTAGCTTGAACAGGTGTCAGTCAAAAAGTGTTTTTTCGCGAGAGGTATGTGGTGGTATTTCCGCTCATCCTTCTATTTCCGGAGTATTTGCGCATATACATCTTACTTCAGGTGATTGAGTCGACAGAATTTCCTCTCACTTTGGAGGGAGCTTTGAAACCTTTGGAGCTCTGCCTTCTCTGTCGTCATCGGCTTCTGCTTGGCGCCTCATTCTATGGTCGCGACCTTTCGGAAAACCTTCGGGAAGGCGCCACGCTAACGCGTGGTGAACTCACGAAGTGTACCCTTTGCTTTGGCCTCTGTGGTCTTTTCTTATCAACTGATGCTGGAGCCGATGTCCCATCTCAGATAATGTCGAAAGTTAGGCAGAGTGGGTTTGACTTCTCCACCTTTCAGCTTAATGTACGTCATCTCCCTGCCGCCATACCAAAAACCATTGCGTAACTACTTCAAAAAATTGATGTATCTTATGGGTGTTTGTGTAGTTTTTCAATGAATTAGCGCCTAGACGTACAGCAACCCTCTAAGCTTCATTTGCTGTGTGTTTGAGCTCTTCCTTTTGAATAACTACTCGCAACAGATCATTTTCCAAGCTAGTTGATCAAATGCATTGAGTTAATGAGGAGGTTAGCACCGTGTTTCCACCCTGATTCCTCACCTCAGTCGAGGCGACAGTACGTAGATTTATTTGACTGAGGAAAGCATTAAACTTTAAACTAAAGACATCTTAGTGATTTCGCCATTGCTCAGGTTGACAGCTACCTTGTTCTGGTTATCATGCATGCTGAAAAATAGATTCACTAATTAGCCTGTTTAAAAGTTCATTTTTTTTTAATTTTAACATACCAGGTTTCAGAACCCGTCAACCTTGCCCTACGAGACCACGCCTTTTGGGTCTATGTTCGCGAGAAATGCAAAACGAATGAATCTTCGCAACCAGTGGAGGTTTTGGAGGAAAAATCAGTTTCAGCAAAAGTTGTATTTCGTAACCTTATAAACAACCGCTTGAAAAAGCTTTTTTGTGTGAGTTTC